CCCCCCCCTTTTTCTATGTTTTTTTCTTTTCTCGAAGTTTCTATCTCCAACAGCCCGGAAGGAAGTAAACACTAAGCTACAGGTCTTACTAAATTGATGACAGGGGTTTTGTCTCCATCGCCCTCAGATTGATGTGGGACCCAGGTCTAGGGTAGGACTGCTTGAGTGTACAGATCGAGACACAACATGAACTGAAGTGGTCCCGCAAATTTCCCACAAGGGAGACTCTGGAAAATTCTAGCAGACACCACTAACTTCCAGGGCCTCCAGCGCTGTAGCAATATCAACCTGGTTCATTCGAGATGCTTCACTTTCCTGGAAACGACAACATTCTCGAAGCTGCCTGAAATCATCACATCGAGTATATAGTGCTCCCTCCAGCGCCGCTCTCTGGCCAAAAACTTCATCCAAACACATCATCATCATCAAACACTCCAACAGTTCTCTTCTGCAAGATAGCTCCAGCTACCACAATTCTCGATCGCAACCAGACTTCAACAACTCAAAAACCCACCAAAATGGCTTTCTTTCCACGAACCTTCTACAATACCGAGGCCTCATTCACGCCTCTCTTCCGCTTGCTCGACGACTTTGACACTTACTCGCGCAGCGGAAGCAACTCAAATGGCACCACCCGCTCACACATCTCGCACTGGCAGCCCAAGTTTGACGTCCGCGAAACAGCAGACGCCTTTCACTTCCACGGCGAGCTGCCAGGCTTGACCAAAGACGAGATCTCGATCGAGTTCCCAGAACACCAAAGCATGACTATTCGCGGTAAGACCGAGCGCACTTACACCTCGGGCACCCCGCCTGCCGGCCTCCTCGAATCCTCCAACAAAGATAGCACGCCTGCCGCTGTGACCGAGGCTGGCGAGCGCCGCAACTCACACCAACCCACCGTTGAAGACGAGGCCAACGCCGAGAAACCCGACAACACGGCAGTTGCTGCTCCAGACAAGGACAACAACAACTCGGTTGCCAAGGCGGATCAGTCTGCAGCTCCGGCTGACAATTCCAAGTACTGGATCACCGAACGCAGCATTGGCGAGTTCTCGCGCCACTTCAACTTCCCTTCCCGCATTGATCAGGATGGTGTTACCGCCAGCTTGAAGGATGGAATCCTGACCATTGATGTGCCCAAGGCTAAGAAGCACGAATCTCGCCGCGTTGCTGTTAACTAAAACCTCCCTTTTCTTGCTTTACGCTATACTCTGCATCGCCAGGCGCCTTGCTTAGGCGTGGAGGAACAGTTTCCAAGTGAACACGTATCGACTGCGTTCGAGAGACTTCGATTGGCAGGATTAGAGACTCTTATATTGCCGTTGGTACCTACTTAGTTTAATGAATGATGAATAATTTTGTTTCAAAGCTCGCTAATGTTCCTATCTTTTGTGAAGTGCTCTGGCCCCTTGATAATAAAAACTCCAATGTAGATTGACAAGGCTAGGAAGGGTAGCAAGTGGCTGTCAGAAAAATAGGGACTGCAAACTCACCGCGACAGAGTTATTATGGCTGCCAGTGCCGTAAATATACTTCATATTGTGTAACAATAAGCAGATAATATGCCTATAATTGGTCAATAATTTTTGCTCTCATTATTAACTATTATCTGTCAATCTCGTGGCCTGCGTTAAAATATCGGGTAAAATGGTCTTGTTGACACCTTCGAGTTCATGGGAGATCCTCTCGTATTAAATGTCATTTTACCCAGGCACCTCGATATCAAGGACTATTTTTTCTTGGAACAGAGATGCTCGAATGTGGATTCTCAAGCTCCCTCAGAGTCTGTTCGTACGTCAAGCGTATGTTAAAGCATACTAAAGTCTTTATTGCTAGTTATCTGCAACTAAGCATGATCTGCGCTTTTCACCCGTCTTACGATTTTAAGTTTTGATATATTTCTATTCTATTCATACTGAACCTCTATTAACTCCTTTATCCAGCCGCTTTAGTTTCACAAGCATACTATTTCCATCGTTCACATCATCGGATATGATGTAGTACCACTTAACGCAGCTAAAGCTCCTAATGGAAAATGTCGGCTTGCTGTAGCGATGCTATCCTAACCGGCGCTGTCTCTCACTGTGTTGCCGTGGTTTCGCGAGGAAGCCGAAGATACTGATGGAGGAAGGGGAGGTAAAGGAGAAGGCAAAGAGAGAATAGTAGGCCACCCTTGATGAAAGCTAACCGTTCAAACGTAGGAAACCCCAATAACTTCTCCAGGAAACTAAGTGCCCTCGGAGGGGAAGCATCTATGCTCTTCTGATATCTGGGCTCCCTGGCTGAATTATCATAGGAGCTGGGCGAGACTTCCATCAAGAGAACTTTGCCGTATGCTGCAGCCGTAGCCGCAGCGTACTCCTGCCACATTCCATTCTTATACGCATCTGCGTAGTCACATATGCCGCGAATGACGAGACTCGGGAGTATGTTCATAACACCGGCAGCCTCCATTTCGAAGCACATAACCTCGTATTGACTTGCCAGTACATCTCGTAACCGGGCGTCTCTTATGACCATGTTTCCAGAAGCAATTAGACCGTAGTGTATCTCTGGTGCATCTGATTCTCGTGGTGCTCTGAGTCTTAAATGGAATTTCCGACTGCTACAGTCTTCTTGTGCCACACACTTGTAACAGATTTCGTTGAAAAGCCTATCATGCTCACGCCCGGGATACTGGTATCGCGAGCGAATTTGGTGGGGGATGGATTTAAAGATCTGTTGTAAATATGGCCCAAGTGGGTTAATTTGAGACCGTAGATTTGATGAAAGAGAGCTAACTGCGGTCATCAGGAACCTTGGTGGTGGTTGAAGAGCCCCCGTTCGTTCAAAAACATCCTTGTCACACGCTTTGCCTCGATCATACTGAATAACGCCGGGATATGTCTTAGTTGGCATACTAACGACTACATCTCCAAGTCGGATATCTTGATCATGAGAAGGCGCGCCGCCCCCTATTCCAATCATAAGGCAAAACTTGACATTCGGGAAGCTTCTCTTCATGTTTGAGGCGGCTTCAGCAGCCGCGTTAGTTCCGTATTCCCCAGCTGGAAGACAAGCCACGACAACCATATGCCAACCAATTTGCCCTAGCGAATAGTGGTTACTATCTCCAAGCAAGAATTGGTCTGGTTTGCCGTGGTCTCTATCGAAGAGCACCCTAACAGCTAGGTATTCTTTTGGGAGAGCGCAGAGTATCCCGACCTTGTACTTCGTCGGATGTCGATTGTCGTTCTCTTCAGCAGCGCCAACGCCCGTATCTGCGTGGAGTTAGATGCATCTAACATATAGAGCTAGGGAACACGAACCGGAGTTTAAGAACCCATTAAGACGATCGCTATGTCGGATTTTGCCGCTATCTGTAGCTTCATAACGACTAGTAACACTTGAAAAGCGCTGGTATTTTACTAGAAAGCCCCAGACCCTAATCTCTAGTTGGCTCGCGTTTTGTTGGACGCGCATACTTCGAAACATTGATGTTTCGCTGCCGCCTTCATTCGAAAATACAGCACTCAATGTGGTTGCGCGACTTGGTGATGAACCACCATTTGGCGCTTGCAACAGCAGAGATGATATCTCGCCATATGAAGCGCCATGATCCTCATCTGTTAGACAATGAGAGACATCGGAAGGGCCTACCAACTCGCCAGCATGTGGGGAATCACTTCGATGCGCTTTTACCGGCGGAAAGGCATGATATACGCCTGTCTCAGACGTATTGACTGTTGGAATACTGATTGCGGCCCTGGAAGCATCGACCTCTGATGGTGGGTTGGTGATACAGGTACTATCATCTCGCAAGCCGTTATGCATCTGATTTAAGATAGAAAGATCTTTGATAGACTTAACGGTTTCGCCACTGTGCAAATGTTCGATATGCTTCCCATCCTTCAGGAACTCGATGCGCCAACGCCGCGGCTGATCTGAAGATGGGCGGGTTTCTGAAGAGGTTTGTTAGAATTGCTTTACACACAACGGTCGACTTCCCCTTACCAGCAATGAGCTCTCGTTTCAACCCATTTTCTTTATCAAGATACCGTCGGCGGGCCTTCCTTATCTTTTTCTCCTCGAGGATATGATCACCAACCATCACTCGAGGTTTCAAGCCCCGTTTTTCCAGCTCACCATATATTGGTAAGATAACCTCCCAATCACACCTTTTCAGATTTTTGAAAGCACCCCAGCCTCTAAAAGCTGATTCGTATTGGGAACGTCTAAGCACTCGTCAGCCGATTTCACATGACTGAATCAACGGGATTCACTATCGAAAAGGATGCCGACAACCGTTTGATGACTCCAGTTTGAAAGCTGAAGGGCAAAGGAGGCAGTTCGAATAGACTCACGTTGCGACAAAATTGTGCTCTTCTTTCATCACCTGCATCAAACTTCGCGAATTGTCTCCGGTTCCTTCTAGGGGCAGATTATCGTCGAACCAGAGTCGAAGAATGACCCCTTTGCGGCGTTGCCACTCTTCCGGTGGAATTGTCTGATGAGCAGGTGCCATAACTTAAATTTGTTATTGAGAAAATATCTGATGACAAGCTCTATTGCTCCATGCCAGCAGCAGCAGCAGTAGTAGAGAAATGCGTGCCTGGGCTGTGTCTTTTACTTTCATTTTGGCCGTGAGGATACCGGTGCTAGAACTTAGTGCCTCCTTGAAAATTTTCATGAGCGCCAAGTATTGCCAGCAGATTTTGCGCACATTGCCTTGACATTTGTGTCGACAAATCACATATTGCCGCGTATTGTTTGGCCGCCTTGCCAAATGTCACTGCTGACAACGAATATAGGTTCGGACGATAGACCCGCACCACCCCGCGTCATCATGCATCTATCGCTTACTTGCCGTTTCTAATACAGAACTGCAGGATGGGCAGTAGTAAGGCATAATGGTCAGCTGAAAGTAGCCGTGGTTATAGACCCAACGTGTGGTCAGGATTAGATCAGGCAGCCCCCCTAATAGATCGGCTACGCCGAAGACCTGATACTTCCAAATCTCATCAATGCATAACATCCACTTATTACTCAGAGAGCGTTCAACTTCTACCGAGTTGTCATTTAAATTTGTAAGCTAGGTGCTCCTATCAAGTGGGAAGCGTGCAGGGATCATAAGAGAAGAATTACATGTTGAAGGAGAGGCAGTAACATCCCCTTTTCTTTCTTCCTTTTTAGAACAAAAAAAAAAGTAGAAAAAGAAATGAAGAAAAGGGAAAAGACGGGCACCTCCAAACCACAAGAGGCGATTTCTCTCAAATTTTGGATCTGGAAGACTGTAGATACTGCTGCCAGTGCCGCATACCTGCAATCCAATGATTGATTGCCATCGGGTCAGCCGCTTCATCGAGAAAAGCCACCTGTTGCATGGATTGCTGAACCAGTTCGGTATGACCAAGACGTCGCAGAATATCACAAATCGATAAAACGATGATTCGGGTAGTACGCCCGTTGGTGAGGCGGAAATTCCCGGCTTCCTTCAACGCCGCGCTCCAATGTGTCAAGGAGTCAAGGTCATTCGTTTCAAAGTACAGCCTTCCAAACAGAAGGTGCAAACGCAGCCTTTCGAATCTCAAAAGTGCTGGTCGATCCCGGATGTTCTTGCAGATGACTTCTGCTGCTTTCAAGCGACCCTGCGCAAATAAGGCCTCCGCTAGGCATAGCTCAAGGGAGGCCGCGCTAGCAGTGATTCCAATGACTGTTCTTCTCGCGATTTCAGATTGAAGATAAGTTTCGGCTAACTGGGGGTTGTCCAGCTCCCTCAAAGTGTCCGCAAGTTCGCAAAAGAGATCGCGCAGCTCCTCGTCGAATGCAATTTCATCGCTGGCATCAAGGAGTTCATGAGCGCTCCGGAGATGAGTGATAGACTCCTCAAATGTTCCCTGAAAACGAAGGAGACTCCCCATGAGTAGAGTCTTCCGAAAGATGATTATTTTCTCCAGTGGAGACGGATGGTTAGTAAGAGGTTTCCAACTGTCTAATAGCTCTCTCGCCTCTTGCAGTCGTTCCACTTGGATACTGTTCAATGCACGTTGAAGGATCTCCTGACCAAGAACTGAGTGAGACTTTTGGTCGGCGTTACTTGGCATCTTCCTCGTCGCATCTAAACAAGCGAATGCCTGATCTACCTGCCCCGTTATTCGAGCTAATACAGCGCGAGACTGGGCAATACGGCAATCGATCTCCCAGTTAGCAAAGTCTTTGGAAAGAACGGCGGCTTCATCAAGAGCAAAGCGCTTCCACGATAAGTTAGGCAGCCGGGATGCTTCGAGCAAAGTTGTCGCGAGATCTATCTGGATATTCCGGGGCAAAGGGTCATTAAAGTTTTTGGTTTCATGGAGAGTATGTCGAACGTGCGGTAAAAATAGTTGTGTGTTAGGGTTGCTTCGGCATTGTCAATGAAACAGTAGAATGTGGAACTACATATGAGGGGCTTACAGTGGTTCAGTATATTTCCATGAGACTGCCCGATATGCGACAAGCAAAGCTTGGCATCTCCAGGATCTGAGATACTCTGGAGGGACTGATCTGCGGATTGAATCGGAGATTGTTTTCTCAAGAGAGTATGTCCCGTTTCCATGGTTATTAAGACCTGATATCCCTAACTCCCCCAAAGCCGCCGTTAACTTGCCACGGTCCGAGAGCAGGTTACACAGCTCGGGGAATAGACCCGCGTTGACTGCATCCATATCTGTGATAGCACCTTGAGCCGTCCATCTCTTTCGAGGAGATGCTCCAAGTAGGAGGTTGTCAACATGGATGGCATTCTCTGGGGCCAGGAACGAAAGAAGGACGAGCAGAGCCTTGCCGTCTTCAGACTGAACTTGACCGAGTTCGGAAACCGACTGTGAAAAGGCCGCAAGGGCTGGTTGTTGAAGCTTGCTGGTCCCCAGTTCTACTTTTCGCGGCGACCTCATCGTTTCAATCTTTTGGTTGCTTGCGTCGGGAGGAGAAGATGCTGGAAGTCCGTGGGCGAGTTGCGTGGTTAATCCCAGCGTTTCATCGACAAAAGAATGATCCACTAACGAGAATTAGTCCAAAACTACACCCGAGGTTGGTTATCATTGCTCATGCGCAATCTCTTGTACGATTGGATCAACTGACTTTTGCTTGTGATGTAAGTTGGCAAACGCAAAGCACGCTGTTCGACGTATCAGTTGTTGTATATCAATTTGATGTTTCGTTCGATTCTTTCAATGGGGAGTAACACCCGGATGAAAAAGCTGTGGCTTTTGTCGCTTACTCTAATATCAAGATTGAGCTTGCTTCTGTCAAATATTCTAAATGCTGCGCCAGAACAGCAGGCCTTGACCAATTGGTTGACCGTGGTGAAGAGGATGACTCCGTGGGGAGGTGGCTAGTCGGAATACGCTAAAGATTGGAGCTAGGCTTTTCCGTGAAGGGAATCGCCGGCGAATTTGCCAATGATCTAGGATCCGAGGAGCGTTCAGAGCGTATTGTTGGTCGAAAGATGTGCGGCGCCTCCGCCGAGCGCGTTGGGAGTATCTCGGCCTGGTGGGGTAAGAATAAGGATTGCGCTAGAATCAAGTATGACGGTGGGTGGGAGCAAATTACCTCGCTATCGTTGATATCGTGATCTTGTCTAGCCTGGAGCTTGTCAGACAATGAGCACCTTTCTTCGTTGGATGTCGTAGGATGATAGGATCAGATATAGCCAGAGCTTGATGTTGGATTGAGCGATCCAGGCAGTCAAAAGAAAGGTACAGGTATGCAACCACGTGACATTGCTGGTATTTTGTATTTTGTACATGTACATGGCATGTATAAAGCTGATTCTTTCCTCTCTCCGTGCTAAGGCCTAGTGCCAGCCGTTGTCTGTCTATAAAATACTCTTGTCCCTTGTCCCTAGTAACGACGATTTTTTATTCTCGCGATACAGATTTGATCGACATGTCAGATTTGCCACCTTCAAAATTCATCTCGCGATTGAACATACTCGGGCGCGGGGCGACTGCCTGGGTGTTCAAGCTCGACCAGGACATCGCGCTCAAGTATGTCCGCAAGGGGCGGCTCAAAGAATTCCAGGCTGAAAATGAGATGTACGATCTCTTTGAGAAACACAGATCATCGCCATACATTGTGCACAGCTTTTTCCGGCTCCCGGGGCTTAATTTCATGCAACTAATGTCCTCTGGCCTTGACCAACGTATTTACAGTAATCAGCGCCGTGACGAAAGGAATTTAAGGTGTCTCGAGGTTCTACGCCTGGAACCAACACCAAAGGTCGAACAGTGGGCCGCCGAGCTATCTGGCGCTCTCGCTTGGTTAGATTCCTTGGGACTGGTTCAGGGGGACTTGAGACCCCATAATATTTTGCTCGATGTTGATGATCATCTTAAACTGGCTGACTTCGACTGTGTCGCCAAGGTTGGCTCAAGAAACCCGGGAAATCCTCCTCCCTGGGCACGTCTGGTACCTAAAGATGGCTTTGGGATGTACGGGACGGCAAGCGAGCTGTTCACCTTTGGCTCAATTCTGTATAATCTTACGCATGGCTGCGAGCCTTACGAAGAGCTGGACTTGGATGGTAATGAGGTTGTCGAGTTGCTCAGGTTGATGAAATTCCCCGAGTTATCGCAATCTGGACTGGACCAGGTCACGTATCGTTGCTGGCATGGCGAATACGAGTCTCTTGCGGATTTGGCCAGCGAGATGGCTAACTTAGAGGGTGCAAAGGCCGCACCGCGTGCCGCTTTGTTTGATGAAAATCACATTGCTCCGATGCGCGACAGGTGCTGCCAATTCCTTACTGGAAGCCTAGCGGGCATAGAAATCGCTGCTGTTTCTAGTGGGGAAGAATAAAACGCTTAATTACAAGAAATAACTTGAAGCGTAGAAAGCTCCCTTCAGCGAAATTCTACATTTCTTTTTCTCGCAGCCCATCCATAGAACCTCACAGCTTTGTTCCCAACATAGGTGTATTCATTGTGTTGAGATGTCGGGTTTGGTATCATCTTTTATTGGTTTTGACTTTACACTCGCACTCTCCCATTCTCATGTTCTCATAACAGGGATTATTATCCTCCTAAGCTTTGCACGTCTAGGACTCAATCACCTTTAAGACGCGGTGGCTCGCCACGTGGCCATGGTGATTCCAAGGACGCACTTAAAACTGATTAAGCGATAATTTAGGTAGTTCACCTATTAATAAGGTGAATATCTTAGCTCCTTCCAAATATAACGCCCCAATATAATAAGAAATGAGAAGGAAAGCCTAGTTACATCATGTAATTTGAAGCGCAGAGAGCTGCTCTTCAAGGAGTTGCGCATTGCTCTTCGTCATAACCCATCCATAGAGCCTCTCTCTTTCCTCTCTTCTGTAATTGTATACTTCCCAATCTACGCGCTTCTCGAACCCGCTCTTCTCCAATACACGATGGCACGCCACATTGTCATAGGTCGGAATACCAGCCACGCACTCATCCACGATCTCGCGGTCACTGTAAACCGTGCTCACGTGCACTCTGGTCACGACCACCCTCCGTGGCAGTCTACGCCATATTCCCAGAAACCCCTCCAAGAACTCGGACGCATACCCTTGACCCCAGTGATCACTCTTTATTCCAAAACTCACTTCTGGCCACCCGAGACTGCCAGGTAAACAAGAAAGACTTCCGTATCCGATAAACTCCCCAGTGGAATTCAGGCAGATGCCATAGACGAGAATCTCGGAATTCGATGGGGGGACAAAGCACTGGGCGCGTACGTTTCCTTCAAGTCGGCATCCACCACTCCTTGAGGGCTCCAACGCATCACCTTTTCGTCCGTGCGCAAGGCGTGAAGTGCCGCCAGGTCGTGGCTGTTGTTCTTCAAAGGTCGCAGCTCGAGACGACTGGTGGTTGTTGTCTCTCGCTCGCTATTCGGCGGCAACCGTGGCAGGGTGGTCTTGATTGTGGACCATCGTTTGGCCTCGACTGGATCCATGTGCCAGGTCATAAAGGGCCATAAATATGGAACAGTTTTGGGTTTAACGAGCCATCGTTTTACGGGAAAGAGAACCCGCCGTCGTCTTATGGTGGCGTACGCGCGAATGCGTGCAGTGGTTGACAACTGACCGTGGTTGCTCATGTTCATCAGCGAGTAATCTTTCCTCGGTTTGGAGCTTCTTCAATCTATGCGGATTCTTTCTGGGAAGTTTGGAATGATTGTAGAATCAGCATCATTGAAGTGAGTGAGGGAAGTAGAATAGTTGATATACGTCGTTGGGATGGCTTACTCAATTAGAATCGCCGTTGCTTTAATCAAAGCGTATATGTCTACTTACACCTTTGGCACATAGACGGCCTTTCCAAGACAATGGTCCTCCTTTTGAAAACTAGCGTGCCCAACAACGGGGGACCTTGCCAAGGTTGAAACGCGCAATGCGATACAAAGAGCTGCGTTCGAAATCTCAAAATCGAAACAAAGGTTTATAAAACGTCTTCAAGACGGAATTCTGCCAGACCTTGATAGGATGAACAAACAGCGTCTTGTTTTCTCTTATTTGAAGGCTGTGCAGATGTTCTGGCTGGAAAGGAGGGCTTGTTGCTTTTTGCTCAATAGTTTCCAATCGGAGACAGCATCCTCAACTCAGAGTGAGTTACCTATTGAGCCTTTTTTGCTTCTTAAGCGGCAATCAAATTTTCCAACCTCATGTGAACAACAATCGTGGCAATGTCACTCTAGCGACTCCTTTAAAAAACATATCTCTTTGTCTACAGGGCTTCTCTCATAACAAGAACAATGATTTCTCGCTGATAATGAACACAAATAGGCATGCGAAAGAGCGCAGGTAAATCACTCATGGAATAGAAAAAGAAGAAGAAGAAGAAGGGGCCGCAACCAATAGACGACAAGACGATGAGAGTTGTCCTTGAAACGTCCCCCAAAATGGTGGGACCTCTAAACTTGGTGTCTCAGGTTCTTCATCTTTGGGAAATCAATCATCTCGCAGTAGATTAGCTTAGTTTTAATTTTAACAATTAAGCTGGTATATCCAAGGTCTGCTGCAAAACTGAACGTAATCTGCGGCATATTTCAGACGGAAGTTAATCGCGAAAAAACTCACGTTTATGACCTTTTCAGCCATTATCAGAATGTGGTTGAGATCTCATTGCTAAGGAGTTGGTAAGCTCCAAAAGAAGGGAATTAATTAGTTAATGCCTAGATGAAGTGAAAGACATTCCAAGAAACCCATCCTATATACATCCTATTGCAGTTTCTCTTAACCCACCGACCCCCTTTGGAATTATAACGACGTCATCTCTTATAAACTCGTTACTCACTTTGATAAACCCCTCTTAAGTCACGTGGGATGAGTTATCGCAGGGTTCTAGCTTCAAGCCAGGGTTCTGGCTCGAAAAATTTGCCCCCACTCAGGGGTATTCATTGTTTCAACATCTCCAAGACTCACAAGTGTTGAACTCGCTACCAAGCGCCAATATAGGATGGCTATCGAGACTGCATACGAATACACGGCTATCACAGCCCCCAAAACTATCCGCTTAATTCACATTTCTCCCGGAACTGAAACCGATCCTATCTGCTTCTCTCTGGAGACTTCCCCACTGGAATCCGCTCCCGAGTTCGAAGCAATCTCATACTGTTGGGGCAATGATCAGAATCAACATCAAGTCTTATGCAACGGGAAACCTCTTTTCATGCAGAAGAGCCTCTTTGGAGGTCTATCATACTTCCGTTTCCCAGACAAGACCCGCGTCCTTTGGGCAGACGCAGTATGCATCAATCAGGCAGATCCAATCGAGAAGAGTAGCCAGGTTCTCCTAATGCCACATATTTACTCGCAGGCTACGCGTGTGCTGGTTTGGCTCGGTGCTGCCACTGATCCTGTTTTTGGGTCGGTCCCAGCTCATACAAACCAAACGATACAGCAAGGGCTTCAGATGCTTCCCAGCTTTGACCCTGAGAATGCAGCCGACATGGCGGCTAAGACACAGGCCATATCCTACGAAGCGCTGCAGCTACGCGCAGAGGGAAAGCCCAATCTCCTAGACCACGACTGGGAACCTCTGGTAGCGCTGTTGCGACGGCCGTGGTTCCGCCGCAAATGGGTGGTGCAGGAGGTTGCGCTCGCAAAAGAAGCCCGGCTCCATGTTGGCGGCGGAGTTGAGATCCAATGGCTGGATATAGCAAGACTCGCCTTCGGTATGGAGTCGCTGGGTCTTGACAAGCCGTGGCGGTTGGAGCTTGAAAAGCCAAAACTGGATGGCGACGATGAGAAACTGGATTCATGGAAAGGCCGCGATGTTGAATTTCGACCTGTTTACGTCACATTTCACCTGATCACCGCAATGTACATGGTTCAAATATACAGACACCATGCCACCCTAGTAGATGGGGTCATGAACACCAAGTTCTTCGACTGCACCGATCCAAGGGACCACGTCTTCTCGCTTCTGGGTCTGGGTGCTGGTGGCCCTACGATTCTGCCTGACTATGAAGCATCAGTTAGCGAGGTCTTCAGACGGTTCTCAATATCGATGATGATAGAAGGGAATAGTCTGAAATTGCTTAGCCTAGCCCCTGACAGAGCACTCTTTGAAACTCCAGATGTGCAACGGCTCAAAGATTTGCCCACTTGGGTTCCAGATCTGCGTCTTATGAGGGCGGATGTGATGGCTAGTTTTACCGTCAGACCACAAGGATTCTTCGCGGGTGGGCGCGGCAAACCAGTACTAAGAGTATCTGACGATGAACGCCTCCTCAACTGCCAGGGTTTGCTCCTTGACAGCCCTCAAAAATTCGCTACGCCGCTTGTTGAAATGCTCTTAGAAGATATCCCCGAGATCCGCAACTCATGGGAGACTGCGGGCGATCCATCGCCAGAGCGGAGGGAGAGGCGCTTCGTCCGATGGCTCAAGAGCGCCTACCAGACTGCATTTGGCCACGATGGCGCCTGCGATCCAAGTTTTGTACCAGAACCAGAGGCCGTGAGTTCCTTCTCGCGGACAATGTCGTGCGGGACAGACTTCCTTCGTAACCGTCTATCACCAGAGCAAGTCGCCACGATATGGAACTTCATCCAGTGGAAACTAGGCTCTGATGCCAACAAGGATGAGGCCTCAGAGCGGGATTCGACCATAAAACTGAATTATTCAACCACCACTCGGGACTCTCTTCTTCTTCTGACACTGGGCGCGAAATTCTGCGTCACCGAGTCAGGCAGATTCGGCCAGGTACCGCTCAATTCGAAACTGGGGGACCGGATATGCGTTTTGACTGGCGGCGAGGTGCCCTTTGTCGTTCGCCCGACAGGTAGCGGTACTTACACCCTTCTCGGAGAGTGTTATGTTGATGGCATAATGGATGGGGAGGCTCTGCAGGAAGCTTCTGTTAGAGGGATGCCGCTTGAGACTATTAGCTTGGAGTAGCAATGCATTAAAACGAACGATAACACTCAGTTGCGCCAGTTTCAGAATCGGTCGAGTCATGTACTGACTTCGTGACTCGGGTCCCCTTAGTGCGGTCGTACGATCTGAATCATTGTTCTGCTCCAAATTTTGTGTGGAGGGTTTAACGAAGAAACTGAGGTAGATTAGCAGTAACTGTCAAGGACAGCCGTCTTGGGCGCAGGAGTAAGTGCGAGATGGTGCCTGAAAATTATGGCAAATATCTTTCCCTTCTTCTACCCAACCCGAGCTTCATGATTTTGACCTTCTCTTTTGCATGCAACAACCAAACGAATCACTGCAACACCAACCCTTCTTCACTTTCTTGCGTAAGATAACTTGACACTTCTTTCGATCAGCCAACAAGCGTCGCAACAAAACCAACAACAATCAAACGTACAACACAACATACAACCACAAGAGATTGAATACAGACACATTATTGACCCAAATAACCACGTGTTATTAGTGGTATCCTTTTGAATCCGAAACCACTCCCGCCACATAGGGGTCCGAAATAGTTCCGACCCCTCATTGCCTGACTTCTGCCTACCTTGACGTGTACGGGCACGTCGGAGGGAGAAGGCATATGGCAATGTTCGATATATCCGAGTTCTTCTTCCAGCTGCCATTCATCATAAGGCATCGTGGCCGAATGACGACAATAAGCCCGAGAGGTCTGGAAGCATCGAAGGTAGCAATCATGGGATTCAAGAATAGTCCATTCTGTGCACAGAAGTTACTAGACCGGTTGCTACATCAGGTAGGTATTCCCTCTTTCTCCTCTCCAGAGACTCTTTAGTTTTATCTTATACCTTGTGGCCTGTTCACCCATGGGTTTCGCGTTGTTGAATTTTCATCTTCTAGAGTTTCTTGCCCGATCGCATTCTGTTGCCGACACTTCTTCCAAGTTCACAATCGTCGCCCACTATTCTAATCTTTTATGGAACCACCCAAGAGGCAAAGTAAGAATTATTTAGGTATGGATATATGGATATCCTAGCTATAATCGCGCACTATCTTATCATCACTCAGTACATCGCGGGCACTTGCTCACAAGCCAGAACCATGACCTTGAGTTCCGCCTTCAGCTTGCTTCCTGTTCCGACCTTTATATAGATTTTCAAGTCCCCAATGATACGCTGTTAAGCATCAACACTTCATCATTGACATCATAGACAAACTGTCAATGTCGCCTAGTTAGAATCTCAATACCGAGCTATCGTCGAATCGAAGAAGAACCGAAATTCCGCCCCAATTTGTCACGCATCCCAATAAACCCAAGACCCATCGGGGACGAACAACGACTTTAGAACGGGACTCTTCATTCATCCGAGAAACGAGACTTGAGGTAGTCTCCAGCACGATCGAAGGTTGGAGTTGAGAAGAGGTTAGCTGGGTAGCCTGCGACAGTCGCTAACTTCATATTATAAGTCAGTGGCCTTTTGTAAATGGGCGATTTGACGGTAGATCGTGTTCGGCTTTGAGCCGTCGATAAGTAGGTCTATGACTATGTCCTCTTCGTCGCTTTATATTGATTGCATTGGTTCCTTTAGGACCGTCGATAAGAGAATCCCGTCGATATAATTCATAATGATAAACGGGCTAAACTCCTGCGGACTCTCGGCCGTGAAACCCCAACGATAGAAACGACGTAATCTATTCTTTTTCTCTTCCGTATAGACACGACGTAAAGGGATCGTGGTATCTTGGCTGAGATGGTCCATGACCTGGACCTCGTTCGTGACTCTCTCAGCAATAAATCTTGCTGATTCAACCTTTGCGCCAAAACCTTACTTAGCTAGGCTCTACATTCATTATCGCCGTTGTTTTCCTCTATTTCGTCAAAATAGGTTTTGGGCGGGGATGTGTTATGCATGTTATACTGCTCAGTGCCCCTTTTCGAGCAATACATGTCGTCATACCGAGAGTGAAAGACAACCTTCCGCGATAGCGATCATCATTGTCATACGACACGAACGGGTGAGAGATACTAAGGCAGAGGGATCCACGTAACCGTCCAGTTTATACTATGTATGAAGCTTGCGAGGCACGTCATGCACCCCCACCCAAGAGCGTGCGCAGTAAACCCGTGACTTAGGAAGCAAAAGACCGATTGAAATAAGCAGAATGCTAGAAATACTGTTCCGCGCCACAATTGTAGACTCCGTGATGCAGACTGTACTCAGAGTCAATGCAACCCCATTCGTTAGGGGATCCAGGTATCTCTAGTAGCTTCTATTAAGTGTGACCCGGAGATCCGTCTAAATTATCTAGTTCTATCCATCTATGCCAGGATCTATCATCTATCACGCTAGGACTCGGCCTTCTTCGTAGCCTTGGTCCTAAGTTTCATCATACCATACACCAGCGCATAAAATCCAATTACAAACGCGACAACAATACCCGCATTCCTCCACCCGTAGGATTCAGCATTGAGATTCAGTGTACGAAGATAGTCCTCCCCAGCGGAGTATTGACAGACCTCACAAGAGGCCATAGCACCTGGGTTGAGGAGGTTGGTGCCACTTCCCATGCCAACCTGATAGTCCGCAAGATACTCTCCGCAGGTCATGTTGGGAGAAGGGTCGAAAACGGCCAGCTCGTCAGGCTCGCAGTGAACCGGTTTGTCCCACGTGGTGAACATTAACAGCGAGCTCATGAGGTAGTTGAAGGGATCCACGTAATACATCCTACATGGAGTTGCGGTTATGTATGGAACATACTAGGGCGGGAGCGAATTTTACGTACCAGTATCTCCAGAATGGCTGAATCTGGCTGTACGGAACCATGACGCCACAGAAGGAGACGAGAGTTGTGATGACTAGTGGATTGACAAGCGATGCGAAGACGGCGTTGGGAGTGTACGCTGCAATCGCCTGACCAATGCCAGTGTACAGGCCCTCGTACATGACCTGAAGGTGATGTTAATTGTGCTGAAGCTATTGCTCGTAAAAATGACCAAGCACTTACGACGAGAAAGAAGACGGCGCCTGCGTGTGCTGCGCCAGTCGGAAGGCCAGCGGTGAAATACCAGCAGACATAATAGAGAACTGCGCAGATGAGGAGGTAAGGAACCTCTGACACAATGAGACCGGTAACGAAGGGAGCCCAATGGTACATCTTGCTCTTCTTCTCTCGCGCCTCATAAATATCGCGACGGTCGATGAAGAGGGGCTGGAGCTGCGAGATGATGCCCGGCGCGATGAAGATGAAGTTGAACACGGTGAACAGGTTCTGCTGGAGGTCCGTCAAGCTGTCTCCGATATGCCAAAAGGTGAAGCCGTTGAGGAGCGCAAGACTGATGTGCATGGCGAACTTGTTGTCAATGTACTCGGTGTTTCGGAAGAGGGAGATGTTCATCCGATGCGTGACCAGCTTGGTCTGCGTCCACATGGACGCCGCGAACTCGTTCCCGTCGTCACTGACACCCGACGGACGAGAGGCAGCGTCTGTGACCATGCGGTCAAGCTCCTTGGTGAGGTGGTCGTGTTCAGGCGACTCAAGCCAGACCTTGTTCCAGTCGGTATCCCTGTAGGATTCGTCCTCGCCTGACACAACGTCAATCATGTGCTCGGCCGGGTTCGCTTCAGACGGACATGGGGCTCCATAACGGCCGAAATAGTTTTTGATGGTTGATCCATTATCTCCAATATCACCGAAGTAGACTGTCTTTCCACCCTTGGCGAGCAGTAAGAGCGTATCGAACTGAGCAAACAATTGCGCTGATGGCTGGTGGATGGTAACCAGAATAGCCTGACCAGCTGCAGAAAGCTTCTTGAGGAAGCGCACGGTATTGTACGCGGCCTGCCCATCAAGTCCAGATGTAGGCTCATCAAGGAAGATGAGGATACTTGGCTTTGCGACCAGTTCCACTCCGATGGTAAGACGCTTCCGTTGCTCAACCGAGAGTCCATTGCCAGGGCGGCCCACGAGAGTATGTTCGAGGTCGTTCAACTCCAAGAGATCGATAATCGTGTCAACATATGCCAGCTTCTCCTCATCAGGAACATCACGAGACTGGCGCAAGAGGGCAGAGAATTCAAGAGCCTCGCGAACAGTTGCCAAGGGTTCATGGACATCCAATTGCTCAACATATCCAGCAGACCTTTGAAAGGACACAGGGATAGAGCGCCCATCAACGAGGACAGACCCATGAATTGTGCCTTCGGTCTTTCGCTGGGCCAGGACATCAAGAAGAGTTGTCTTGCCAGCACCAGACGAGCCCATGAGCGCTCCGAGCATGCCGGGCTTTACGTAGCCTTGCACATTGTCAAGAAGAACCCGATCGCCGTTTGGGGTTTTCACGGTATATGTCAAGTTCTTCCACGTAAAGACACTCTTGTTTCGTAGAAGCTTACCGTCGACCTCCTGGTCTGAGGAGCCACCTGTATTCTCCACCCGACGCTTCTCAGTTGCTGGTACCTCATCGTCGCTAGGTTGGAAAAGATGCTTCGACTTATGATGTTGCTCTCGGGGAATCAGGAGGCTGCGCCCACCCTCGCCGACTTGCTTCCACCTGGACGTGAAGAAGACCGTGAGTCCAACGAACAAGATCCACCAAGCGCAGAGGATACCAAAGTTACGCCAAATATGGGAATGGCTGAAAGACATATGATCGAGGTAAGCATCGCCGGTAACAGTCGTGGCGCCCGGGAGAGCACCGCCTACTCCGGCACATGCCTGGCCTCCATCGCCATCCACATAACTCGGGCCGTTGGGAATGAGGTAGGGGCCAACACAAGGAATCTCTTGGTCGTGGAACTCGTTGCCAAGAAGAGCTTCGAAGCCATAGGCCATAGGGTTGATCCAGTAGATCCAAGACAGCCAGGGGTGCATCTCAGGCTTGATGATCATGTAGCCCATGTAGACAAACAGGGCAACAGTGGACAGGCCCGAGACTTTGGTGGCAGCGTCAAAAGTGGGAAACGCAGCACCGATGAATCTGAAGAATGAAGTCATTGACAATGCCGTCACGTAGTTGGTAACGAGGTAGGTGAAGAAGGCGCCAGCGGTTGTCTTGAGCCCAGCCAGGAAGTACAGGACAAGACCGAACTGCGTGACCTGGAAAGCCATGATGGGCAAGTCCGCAACAACCTGCGCTACGACAACGGCAGCTGGATCGTACAGGGCGAATTGGCGATGCTTGGCCAGGATGGGTCTCCCCGTGAAGGAATCGGTGACCTCTGACAAGGCGATCAGGGCATTGTAGAGAATGGAGAAGAAGAGAGCGCCGCCTTTGAGGAAAAGGCCGGCTGAGTTGTCTGGCGCAGAGTAAAAGAGGGAACCGCCCAGGAATGCCTGGATGAGAGTCGCGCCCTGCTTCATGAAGAGAGTCGCCTTATCACCCCACATGATCTGGTACTGTCTCATCACGGCAGCACGGACTTGGGTGAGGAAGTTGGCGGTTACGGGAGAGCGTTGAGGCACGCCTGTCTGTTTGTCGCGAGCCACCATCTCCATGAAGTTGGCGGTGTTCTCGGCCGCTTCGTCGGTGCTGGGGTACCTTTGGCATTCCTCCATCATCTGGGCCTTGATGGGGGATCTGTCGTACGCGACTCGAACTGCATCGGCGTTGCGCGGGAACGTGTTCTCATAGCCACGTGCGATGCGACGCTCAGTAGGAACCGTTACACCAGTAAGGAAATCGCCCCGGTTCGATCCGGAGTCACGCACGAAGCCAAGGCTTTCCATGAAGGGAACAGCTTCGTTTTGAGGGCCATAAAAAATCTGTTTGCCGTCATCCAGAACTAGGACCTTATCAAACTGCTCATATATACCGTTGCCTGCCTGGTACAGAGTGACAATGGTAGTAAGGCCAAGGATGTCGGTCATGGCCCTGATAGCTCTGACCCATTCGAGAGCAGTGCTCGCGTCCAGACCCCTAGTAGAGTTGTCCCAGCAGAAGGTACTCGCTTGGGTAGTCATGCACTCGATGATAGACACGCGCTTCCTCTCGCCTCCCGAGACACCCCTGATGAAGGCGTCTCCGACCTTGGTGTGTTTGGTGTGAGAGATGTTTACAGATCTCAGGAGGAAATCCTTGTAGGCTTGAGCATATTCCTCGCGCGTCTTGATCCCAGGGGGCAGATCGCAGGGGACCTTCATGCGAGCAGCGAAATCGATAGTGGCCTCGACCGTCAGGCTGGGGTAGAAGATTTCTTCCTCCGTGTTCATGATGATCTGAGCACGATAGGGCTTGGCTTCTTCGGCTGTCATACTACCGAAATAAACATCTCCGGTAACCTCTTCGAAGCCGCGTCGGTTGTTAGCTAGGACACTCAAGAGTGATGTGCAGCCAGACCCGGGACGCCCAAGAACAAGCAACATTTCTCCAGGCTTGACACATCCAGATGAATTGTCGATAATTGTCTTCATAGGAGCGTTTTTTGCGCTCCCGTGAAATGGGTAGAACTGAGACACGACATTCTCATTGAAGGAAGCATCGGCTCCGATGCCCTTCACAGTGAGGTTGGACCATGTGATCCCCAGTTTCCGCGGTTTGTTGCCGACTTCCTCGTTGCGCTCCCGCATGGCCTGTAACTCTGGTGCCAAGTACCACCTTGTCACCGAATGGTTTTTTTCTTCGTTGTCAGAAACGGGTAGAGTTGACTGTATGTCGTCCGCCGTGGCGGACTCGTTCTCCGCGGTGATGGAGGAATTGGTACTCATGGTGATGATTGTATAACTAAGTGCCAAAGAAAAGAAACAGAGGGCCGAATGAAAACCAAGGAATGCGAATTTATTTGAATAGAAAAGAAAGACAAACGCTAGGCAGACACGATATTAACATCATTGGGATATCATTTCCTTCTATCCGCCGTAGCTCGCAAAACGGACCCTCTTTGGCGTTTGACGTCGACATAGAGCCTCCCTTACAACGACACGTTAAACCTTCCGGCACGGGGCCTCCAGAGATTACGGCTGTTTGTATTCATCAGCTCTGCTCCAGGAACCTCGGTGAACGGCCAGGCAGGCTGGTCTGGTACTTCTCTCGGCACTACCGGCTCGACAATCTCTTTTGCCCCCCCTTAAGTGTATCTCCTGGGCTGGCTGATTAACGAGGTACATAGTAGTCGCCAGTGCGTCAGCAAAGCACATGAAATAGGAGCCTTACTGTGGAGGGTAGAGATAAGAGGCCCACAAGGTGATTTTGTCATGGGCATAACACGGCGTTTTAGCTTGCAACTAGCACGGCTTGTGACATTCCAGTGCCGGGCTGCATACTAATCATTAATCTCTAAACCAGACCAGCTTACAAAACCCGCCGCGGGGGGTTCCCAGACAAAAGACGGGCCTTCGCCCATCCAGCACACACCTCCATCACCACCATCACGCTCGCATCCCATCGCATCCCAGTCATGGGCATCTCCCCAACCCATCCTTCCCAGGAGCGCTCTTCCTGCGATGTCTGCAAGAAACAAAAGTCCAAATGCCTTCGCATCAACCCGAGCGATCTAGCATGCGCCAGGTGCTCTATCCTCGACGTGCCATGCACAACAGGGCAACCGAAGGCGGCAGGGAGACCACGACGCAAGGCACGCTCTGCCACTTCACACACCGCCTCTAAGCATGCTCCCAAGAATCCCCCGAACCCATCAATCCCCCCTACTCCCTCTCAGCAGACCAATGCCTTTTTTGAGGGTTCTAATCCAATCCACTGGACTGTCACGTCATCTCAAGATCCCTCCCATCCACAGCTCCCTCCTACCATGGCGCAAGATGCAGTCCACAACACAGAAGCGTGCCATACGAGATTCAGCGACACTTTTAGATCGCCTGTGACCTCATGGACAATCCGGGATAATATAGAATACGCGAATTCTCCGCCGCCGTCGTCCTATACCAGGCTCAACTTCGACGGTGTGATTCCAAGTGTATACTCCGTCGCCACGTCCCCGAATCCAGCTCCACCACTTACCAGCCATAGCGCTCCCTTGCATTCGGTTTATCCCTCGACAACACCTCTTCCGCAGAATGCCAACCCTCAAGATCCCATGTTCGACCTGTCGAAGATCAATCTAGGCCTAAACGGCCGACTCAAGGCGATGAAGGAACACCAGCAGATTCTCGACTTTGACCTCATGATTGTTCAGCAAAGTCCTTTGTCTATTGACAACATCACTCTGGCTGAATACATGCTCAAAGCAGCTCATGAGTTTCTGTCTATCCTGACACGGCTCTACAACAGCCAACACTGCCCCGAGCAACCATGCGAGCTGCCAGCACGAGACGAAATATATTCAAAGGTCCTGACATCATTGCATCAACAAGACCCGACGAAGACGCAGGACCTATCCGGAATCTCACACCAACTCAACCCCAAATTCATATTAGAGCCACTGCCTGGGCCAATCGTCTTATTAATAACGAGTATTTTCATTCAGCTCATCTCGAGTTACGAGTTGATTCTCCACTATCTCACATTACGTGTCGAGCGAATTCCTGCCGACCCGATCCAGCCCATCCCGGGCCTCGTCATCTGCGGGCAGCCTTTAGAGAGAGCTTGCACCCAGGGCATGCTCTTCTGCGAAGTCTCCGTGATCTTGCTGTCGGCGATTGAGCGTCTACTAGGCGTTGAGGGCAGAGGGGCCGGCTTGCTATCACCGAGGCAGTTGGAGGTACTTACGAGTGAGTTGGACGCGAGACAGGAACTCTCGCCTGGCTACGCCATGATGTCTCCTGCCATCTTGCGAAGGCTACTTGGGAAAGTAGCAGATGTTCTGAGAGTCATTCAGTAGTTGACCTGGGAAATACAGCAAGGACTCAACCACACACACAACGTTGTGTCTTATATTAACGCAAGCACGTGCTTATTACAAACTAGAACTATTCATCATGGGGGAAATTTACTAAACTCTCAAGAACCATTTAGTCAACTTTACCGGCGGGTTTTTTTGTCCCAGTATTTATCAAAAGATTGTGCAAATAGCATACTATTATTGTTCAATTGATCGGAAGAGCTGCAGACATTGCTCATTAGAAAAAAACATTATTCAGCCAAGATAAAAACAAATTTCAGTTCTGTTTTGATGCTGTTGAGAGATTCTGCCGTGGTTGCCGCGGTCACGGTCGCTTCTGTTCGGGCAAGGAGCCCGAGATCATGACTTTGGTCAGCTCCGGCGGGACAGGACGGTCTTTCTCGCGTTCGATGCTCGGGAGCGCGTCTCGAAGATATTCGCTGCGGTACGTGGCATGCTTGCGATGACTACGTGTAGGTAGGAAGATATCTGCGGTAGTGGCCGGAACACCATGATGTAAGAAGTATGGCCCTAATGCTCTTAGTCTCTACCATGTGGATCGTTTAGGGGCCTCGCCGCCGGGATTAGGAATTGGCTAAAACCTCTGATCTTTACTAATGTCGGGATGTTGACATAAGTAGCCCGACCTAACGGATCGGGCTGTTGAGAATTGCGAAGGGACCACAACCCTGAAGGACAGTGGGGGTTTCAAATCGAGGATCTTAGACTTTGCGAAAAGGCGGGCCATTTTCCCGCTGTGCTTTAGCAACAGCTTGCAGAATGTTGGTTTTCCGGTGCATCCCTGTGTTAGACCAGACTTTATGTGCCAGATGGAACGCACCAGGTTGGGCCTTGTATTTACTTGAGCGATTAGACGATGAGCTTCTCACTTTCTGTCAATTATACCGCCACAGAATTTGACCTCTCGACGGCAGGTTATTATCGAAAAAATACTTATTAAGGTGAGCTGCTCTAGGGTCGGAAGACTGAACGCCCTAGTGGAGGAATGTATCAATAATTGCATATCATATTCGGGCAGAACGAGTGGTGAAGCGAGCAACCGGACAAGCCGAGGAAGAGAGGAGAGCCGACTAAAGCTCCCCCCAATCAGACCGAGTGCGAGAATGAGCACGTCACTGGCCCGTAGACTAATTCATCCCAATAGAATTGGGAAATCATCCGCGGAGGTTTATAGTATAGATAAGTCAGCCATCAGAGTTTGGCACGACGCAACCCACTCGCTCGGAAACCCTTTGTAAGTCCTCCGCGGATGGTCCCTGAAGGGGTTAGAGCTTACGCACCAGTGACGCGCTCGTCCTTGCACTTGGTCTAATCGATGTGAGCCTCAGTGCGGACCGAATGACCCAGACGCTATATATCGTGAACACGAGCGCGCCCAATGGTAGGAACTTCATAGCTCCTGTAGCCAACACTTTACACTCAACTCTTTGGCCTCAGTCATGTCCAATCATCGCATATTCGTTGTCGGTGCCACAGGCGCCCAGGGCCTTCCTGTATGCCGTGGTCTCGTTAAGGATGGAGCCTACAGCCTGCGGGTCCTCACTCGCGACGCCAACTCCAGCCGTGCAAAGCAATTAGCTGAACTCGGTGACGTGGAGTTCCTGGAAGGAACGTTCGCCAGCGATGAAGATTTGCGGAACGGCCTCAAGGGATGCTGGGGCGCTTTCATCAACATCGATGGGTTCAACTGTGGCGAGAAAACGGAAACCTACTGGACAATTCGTGCATACGAGTTGGCAGTTGAAACAGGCATCAAGTTCTTTGTTTTTGGCAACCTCGACTATGTTTATAAGAAGAGCGGCTATGATCCACGATTTCGTTGCGGTCACTACGATGGCAAGGGTCGAATGGCTGAGTGGATTCTGAGCCAGAGGAAGGGCAATGACATGGGCGTCGCCATCTTCACCACGGGCCCCTACATGGAAATGGCGATCGCATCCCAAACGCTCATGACGCCTCGTTATCAAGACGGAACCGTCCTTTGGGTGGCTCCGCTTGGTGACGGGGCGGTGGCGCACGTCTCCCTAGACGACTGTGAGCACTATGTCCGCTGGCTTTTCGACCACCCGGAAAGATCTGATGGAATGGACTTGGAGGTGGCCATTGACCATATAGGATATGCCGATCTTGCGGCAGCCTTCCAGAAAGTAACGGGCAAGCCCGCCCGGTATATCAACGTATCGGTGTCGGAATATTTCGACCGTGTGCCCATCTCCCATCAGCCGGCTGCTTACAACGCAGATCCCAGCGACCCTGCCACAATGACTTTCGAAGAGAACTTTACTGGGTTCTGGACAATGTGGGCTCATTCTGGCGGAAACAAGGGGGTTATTACTAGGAACTACCAACTGCTGGATGAGATCCATCCGAAAAGGATTCGGACAGCTGAGGAATTCTTTCGCCGAGAGGAAGAAAGGCGTCGTTCCCTAGGAATTGAAACCCTTTTCGAGGCAATCCAGAAGAATGGATTAAAATCAATTCTTAAGCTGGGAGAGGATAACAGAAAGGGCAGATTGTGATACCACCTTCTATACTAGCTCTGATTGAGAAGCATTTAGGCAGTTATCTACTCATTGCCGTCGTAAAGTCCCATGGTCGCCCATGCTCTACAATCTTCCCTTCAACAAATGTCTGAACTGCTTTCTCGCCATCCCCTCTAAGTTCAATAACGGGCTCTGAATGGTTCGTAATTTCTTCTTATAAGTCAGACAACACGATCTCCTCACACAAACCGTCATGGTGCGCTTCAAGGACACTTCGCAATGCCAGATGCATGAGGATAATTACCCAATGCAATGTAGCTTTCCCCTCCCATCGTGAAACTTTTCAATACCGCTCTCGTCACGTTTCTCATCTGGCCTTGCTAATATAAAATCAACACTGTATAGTTTACCAGAGCTTTTGTAGCCATCAACTTACGGTATTTAGGAGTTCCTCGCGTGTGAAACATCCCAACGGGCAAAACTAAAAAAAAAAATTGCTCGTTCTTCTGCTGTGCACGAGTACACCCAACGATAAATTCACATATATTCTTACAATTGAGATGAGTCCATTCTTAATGACACAGTGAGATGCGTTGCCCGCAAGTCTCATCGAAACGCGTCTCTGAGTGGACGCAGTGATGCGACACCCTTAGCTGGATTAAATTTACATGTGATAACCGCGTAATCACGAATAGAGTAGAAGGTACAAACCCGTGGAAAGGGACACGTGAAGTGACGGAGTATTGAGACCCAGGGCGGAGAATGAGAGGTATCATGCGCACTTGCGTGTGGCGTAAACCTTGCGATAAAACCCCCCGCGGAGGATTTGGGGCCCTCTTTGTAATGGCCTCGGCCTTCTAAGGTTATAAATCAATGATCTGACTACCAACGAGGCTTCCACAGCCAATCAATCATTTGAGCCTGGTGGGTATGGAGCCGGGCGAATCTACGTAATTGGCTGACTTGCCTGCCTCATGATCCGGTCCTGAGCATGGGGTGGACCGTTAGATGTCGCTGGGATGTTTTTTGCTGTTGTTAGTATTGGCTATATATAAAACTTGTGATAGCATCGATTTGTTCTCTTCGTTCAACTACACGCTAACACAAGACTTGACTTCCAAATTCTCGAAGCACTATTGAAATTCGATCTTCTGCCACATACAATATGGTCGATATGAAGGAAATTGCCATCATCGGTGGTACCGGCGCACAAGGCCTGCCTGTGGTACAAGGCAAGAGATATTCGCTACCGCTTTTCTGACCTCTGCTGACCTTCTTTGAAGCGCTGTCTCAAAGCGGACGATATCGTGTCCGGGCCTTGACGCGAAATCTGGAGTCTCCTCGCGCAAAGCTAATTTCCGATCTTCCAAATGTGACACTCGTCCGTGGGTCCCAAGACAACCAAGAGGACTTGCACAATCTCTTCCGGGGTGCACATGGGGCTTGGGTCAATCTCGACGGCTTCACTCTGGGAGAAAAGGATGAGCTTTTCTACGGCTTTAGGGCCTACGAGATCGCCAGGTCGGAACGTGTACAGCACTACGTCTGGGCGAATATCGAGTACGCTCTTGGAAACGCAGGATTTGATGAGAGATACCATTGTGGCCACATGGAGTCTAAAGGGAGAGTTGGCAAGTTTATCCTCTCCCTAGGCCAGGATGGCATGAAGAGCACCCTCTTTAGCACTGGTCCGTACATGGACATGCTCATGGACGGTATGTTCGTGCCTAGGGAGCAACCTGATGGCACCTTTGCCTGGCTCAATCCAGCCCGTGAGTCCCTTGATCTTCTCCGCCGTACCGGCCTCGTCCGCCGTGTCTGGCTTTCACACCCCCTTAACTGAGGCCTAGTACATCCGCTGACATGGATTTATCAGCGAGTGACGTAAAGCTTCCGCTGATCGCTCTCCTCGATGTCGGCGTTTACAATCTTTGGATTTTTGACAATCCCAGCGAGTCGGCGGGGATGGACCTCTCCGTTGTTACGGACAATGTCAGCTTCGCAGAGATCGCTGAGACCTTTACCGAGGTTACAGGCAAGAAGGCAGCCCATGTCACGGTCCCGTTTGAGAAGTATGCGAGCGTGGCGGAGCCTTACCCAGATGCTTATGTCAATTGGGTTCTTGGACCTACCGCCGCCCGCGATGATTCTGTGATGACCTGGCGCGACAACTTCGGGGCTTGGTGGCAGTATTGGGGAGACGGGATCACCAAGCCGCGGGATGTGGCAATCCTGGACCGCATCCACCCCACCCGCATCAAGAGCTTGAAAGATTGGATGCAGAAGATTGGGTATAGTGGTCATCGCCGTAGTGTTTTGAAGATGGTGGATGACTGGGCTGAAAAGACTGGAACAAATTGACCTGGTGCTTGGAGGAAGGTGTCTTGCTCATAAGGTGCGGGAGGTTTGATAGTCATTGTGAGCTCGCGGATATCCATATCAAGTAGTCATACTACGAATTTTCCCGCATGCTTCTCCCTAACGGAGCTTCCGTTTCTGCCCATAACAACTACTATTCAACATTGCGTTGGCTTCAAGGCAGTAGGGATCAAGTTCACCCCCTGTTGATGCGTAATAAAAGCAAAAAGCAGTCATGAGCCCCTCTCTTATATCTCTAAAAAATTTAAGGGTAAGCTTGACTGTCTAAAGACCCTCTTCATCTTTGCAAGCGATCCCAATACGGTTCAGTCTCTTCGAGCCTCTTGCCACCTTGAGTTCTAGTGCATAGTGGGTTGACTTCTAGGCTATTCTTGTTTTGTCTCTCGTCTGGCCAAATGCTAGCAACTTTCTCATTCCAAGATAGCATGTTCTAAGTCCGTTCAAAAGATAGGTTTCAGTTAAGCATATGGCCGCGGTAACGGCGGAGTTGCGGTGGCGGAGCCGCGTGCCCACTCGTACATTAGAATCGTGACAGGCGAGCCATTGTCGTGGACAATTCTCGGTTGAAATTTACATCTCAAAACAATGAGGTGCTCAGCAATCCACAATACCGAGTGTAGATATAAGCGAGCTCTGTTGTGCTGTCGTATGATAAAATATATCGATATGGTAGCCGGTGTTGATGGTGCGACGCCATTCGAAATCAAGGGTCGTGCATCGTAGCCTGAGGCAATGAATGCATAGCCTTGGTGTGAGCTACGGCCTTGAGTGATGTTTCGAGCGGTGTGTCTGCCTTTCGCTTCGGTTGCGGACCTGTTTGAAACGGATGCTGTCGTAAATGCGAGCATGATGAGCGAGTGACTGACTGTTGATGCGTGTGTATGAACGATGGGTTATGATGGTGTTAGTTTAGGTGATACAATTGAAATAGTCACGTGGTTTATGCAGGCCAAAATGTACTAATGCATTATACTTCAATCAGAGGAGGCATGACCCTATCTTAGACTCTCTTTCTATCTCAACCCATGCCGTTGGACATGCCCTTCCCTTCCCTATGGTGACCCGCGAGCTACTCTCTGGGCCTGTGACCCTTTCTGAAGCAAAAGGAATAGGGTTTAAGGTAGTGCACCAGTTTAAATACCCGTAGCTCGAAAGAGCCTTCTTTCGGCGCCTTAAGGGCTAATATAATGTTATTTATACTATTATTACCTATTACTTATATATTAACCCAGCGAATTATAATATCTCTTCCCCTGAGAACTGGTGCTATAGGTTATTTAATATCTGTATACTAGCTCGTGTTAATATTCCCAGCCTTATATAGCCTAGATTTATTATAGTCTGATTTCCCTTGCCTTACCGTGTTAGAGAGGTAATATATCCTGGAAATACAGATAAGAAGCTTAGATATAAAGCTGCTACCTATATATAGCTTTAGGAATATTACCCTTCAGTCCTTATTCTGTATCTATATAGTATAGAACTGTCTACGGGCCAGCAGGTAGGACTTATAGCAGACTACTTAATAATGAAGAAGCTAATACCCTTACAGTTAACCTATATAAGCTACTAACTATAATAGTTATACTAGCTATATAGACTTCAGTAATTCTTTTAGGCCCTGCTCAGTATACCCCCTCTAACTTACTATATACAGTATAAATTAAGCGCTTTATCTTTACTTAACTTAAGCTACTTAGTAATTAAGACTATTACTAAAGCCAAAGGGAGTATACTTTTAAGCTCCTGGGATAAAAATAATAAGGATAACTGCTTATAGAGTAACCTCTAGTATAGCCTTATATAAATACTTCTCTCGCTTATAGTTATTCTGCTTCCCTATATTAGAGTATTTTAACTTAATAATCTCAGCTATATATACCTTAATAATTACCTGCTTAGTACTAAAGTTATAATATAAGAGAATAAAGACCTTTCCCTATAGATCCTATATTATATAACCTATACCTATATAGATAATTTTATCCTTATATAACTAAATATCTTTAATAATAGGCTACTGTACTAGCCTAATATTATAATAAGCGAGATTAATAGATATTTCGAAATAGCAGGTCTTACCAGAGCCTAAGCTATCTTTCTACAGATATTACAGAGTAACCTCCGTTCCGGCCCCTTTATTTATACTCTAATAGATCTATACAGAAGTAATACTATTATTAATATTAATTAGAATATTATATATATTATTAACCTCGAGTTTATCTGTTTATAGTCTCTTAAATTCCAGTAGCCCCCTTACTAGCTTAGAGGATAGAACACTAATAAGATTAATTATAACTTATTCAGTTCTTATTATAATTAATTTATCCAGATCCTCGAGGAGGAGGAGGAGCTTTCTACTATATAGCCTTCTGAAAAGCTCTCTTCTATTATATAATAAGTATAAACTAATAGGATATTCTAGCTTACTCTTACTCTTTAAGATCTAATAATCTTTTCCTTAATCTTTTAGTATTATATTATACCTTAATAATTCAGTCTCGTAATAGATTATATAACTGATTTTATACTGTTATTAATTCTCTGGGGAAAACCCTATATTATTAATAAGAAATTATAAGATTACTACTAATATCTAAAGAAGCTCGAAAGTATATTTATAGAATCTAACTAGATACCTTATAATTATCCCTATAACTGGACTAATGATTAAGCTATTTCCTCGCTTAGTTGCTAGACTTCATTAGAGGGCTTGAGGGGTCTGGGGGGCTCGGTGCCTCTCTGCGGGCTTGTGCACTCTTTCCAGATGATGACACCTATTTTGCTTGTCCACTCGAGGTCCGGATTCTGTACATGGGTATTGAAGTTGTGTGTGGTATTTGATTACTGTCTAGGCGCTTAATCCTGAATTCATGACTCTGCGCGGAACGCCGCAAGTCGCGCCTCATATTTGATCCAACGAGCCTCCCATTAGGCCTGCGTCCAATATTGCACTCTGGACCTTGCCTAGGTGGTTAATTTGATACTTCGATAGGTAATAGACCAAGTTGTGTTGTTATGCAATCGCTAATTTCTCAAATCTCACCGGCAATCTTCCAAACCATACTACTCGTACTAGACAAGACGAACTTGTATCCATCTCAAGCTAGTCTCATCAAAAAAGCTGCCGACTTCATTTCTGTTCCCTTTACAACCTTCAACAAGCAACATACCAACTCGAGAAACAGTCTCAGAAACCCCACTTTCGACAACGAGCAGAAGCCTCCAATCTTGCTCCTTTGGCGACTTTCCGGACCAGTAGTCCCCGAGCAACAAACAGGTCCAAGCCTTTGTTTTGAGGCGTTCCAGAAATGCCCTCGGGGTGGGGGTCGGCATCTGCACCCCTTCAACAAGCAGTCGATGTCCCGCGACTGTGCAGTTACTCCAACTGTCGGTAGCTCCCGCCGTAGAGAAGAGTGTCGCTGGAACTTCACGGACTGTTAAGCGAATAGCCCTAGCTGAGTCCGGACCATGGGAATGTCCACCTGTTTGCAGATACTGCGCAGTTAGGTGTAAGTGTCCCTCTTTATCTTCCAAAAGAAGCTCGCGCGTCCTCGAAACCCAGCGCCGTGGTTTGTACAAGCGAATTGATTGAATTGGCCCAGCCCAACCGGCCCACGTCCACGACGGAAACCCGCACCGCCGTCGTATCGAGTTGGACGATAAGTGATACCAGCAGAGCGAAGCCGTCAAATACATCCCGACGGCCCCGTCGTCCGTGCTGCCGAAAGCAACATATGGCAGCCCGCATAGGTTCAAAGTAGAGGGCAGGCTGTTCCTTTCCAGAAACCGCAGCACTCCCGAAAACGCATTAAGAGAGTCGGAATCAAACGTCAACTCGCGCGCGGAGTACTGTTCTATCCAATTGAAAAGCTCACGATGCCTATGCTGTAGCATTTTATGCGTTTCAGGGCTTCCAGCATGCAATTCCTTACACTCTTTTAGATACCCACCGTCCCAATACTTCTCAGATATTGTCCGGCCCGAGTATAGGTTCATGAGAAAGCCGCTTGCACTCCAGAAACGGCCAAAGTCGACCTTCTCGGGGTCCTCGATGAACTCCAACCCACCAATGGATTCATTCCAACTGACTTCTCTGCATTCAAAGTAGGTCTGATGCTCGGTGAACACCAGTTTCCTCGGTGATAAAAACGCCTCTTGAAAGGTCCACCCTCTCGTCCACCATTTCGACTTTGCAATGCTTGCTGTGGGATCCGGACCGGTGCTGAGAATTGTGAAGCCTGGAAGCTCAACAACTTGTTGTTGAGATCTCTTCGTTGCTCCAATCCCGGGTAGACCCTGACCCTCACCCGTCCCGGATGCGGCGATGATATTAACCTCGGCTCCTCCGTAGATCAAGTCCATGTTGTTGATGGAATGCATCTTCTCATGTTTATTTTGTTGGTCGATACAGTACATATCGACCCACAAGTATCGATGGCCAAGGCTTTGGACAACTGTGATACTATCACTGATCAACCGCGGGATAGGCGATGGAAGCTGGAGTGGAGGGAGTGATGGATGATCGTTGAACACATCTTCTTTCCGCGCTCCCCAAACGTAGCTCAACGTGACCCAAGGCATGGAAGCGGTGGCTGGTATAATCTCCATCGTTTCACAGTCAATCAAATTCATGCCCGCGACCGTCTGAGATGACCCACGGCACTCGCTCCCATGGCAGTCTCTACAATTTTGCAGCCACTTGCGCGTTCTCTCGCTATCGAACGATTCTGAGACGACACGCGGTCTGAAAAGACCCGGCGCAGTTCCATTTGGATAGATAACCACATATCCTGCCTCATTGAAACGGGACACTGCGGGAATATTCTTCTCGTCATTGCTGGCAGCTTTGGGCGTTACCGCAAGCATTGCACTCTCCTGCGCTCCTTTGAACCTCTCATCGGCCCATAGACAATTTTGCAAAAACGACACAGCACGCAATTCAAAGCCGCCTGATAGCTCGGATTGTTGGCCACAGCATGTCGACAAGATCCTACAAACAGCACAATTTGTTTGTAGGGGCGATATGAAGCGTGATCCATCGATATCGAGCACAAGACTTTCAGTGCTGAGAGTAGCGCTCGTTGACTCTAATACTTTGCTGAAATCGATGTTCTTGCATGCATCGCAGATGAACTCGGATGTTGTTGTTGGCAGATCCATTGTCTAGTCGATGAGTAGATGGGGATTCTTAGCGATGTATTTTACTGAGACGGCAGATGGCTCCTCATTAGGGTGAAGATTTCGACAGGATGCAGAGAATGATCCGGAGTTCCGAATTTAAGTACACTCAACTCGAATCCAAGAAAAAGGGGGTGCAAATGTACATTGGTGACATTTCAATTGGTGTTGTGGTTAGGTTGTTGGTTTGGTTAGGTTGTTGGTTGGTGCCACTGTATGCCTAACCGCTGCAGATAAGTGTCCATGAGATGCTAACATCTGGAACCGCTGCAGATAAAGGCCCGAACGAATGTGACATTTCGTGTTGTGGTTGGGCTGTTGGTTGGGGCAAGTTAGCCTGCATAAATATTGGTGTTCAGCTGACGACAAATGTAGAGATGGGTGTTGTGCAGGCGTTTTACCCACCCACCAGCACCTCTGCTCAATTGGCTCTTATTGCTCGGCGAGGCGGCGCTTAAATGGCACAGCCTGTACACATATGTAGGCTGCAACCCTTTGAGCAGAAGCAGCAGTAGCGCTGACGTGCAGGCGCCTATTTCGACCTTCCCCGCCCTTCATCTTGAACTCAGGGCTTTTCGCGGAACGCCGCAGCTCTCGTCCCATATTGGGCCCAATGGGTCTCCTATTAGGCCTGCATTCAGGCATCTATCTCATATTCGCAAAGCTTCTCCAATTTCTCTCATCCCGCCCATTCTTCTCGACAGTCTTCTTGTACATACGTCATATCGCTTATCGATTTCCCGTTAAGCGGGCTACCTTCCGTTGAGACGGGCAGATGGTTTTTCCAACCTACGGTAATTATCATCAATTTGCTTCAATCGATTGCTTCTTTTACTTCGCTAAATACAGAAGTATTCCTATCAATCCGCAGTCTTTGTGGACGTGTGATTTTGGAAGATGTCTTGAATCCGCTGTCCGCACTCTTGGCGACTGTGTCATCTACAGCCGGAACCAAGCAGTGGCATCCACAAATTCATGGGCAACAGGATCCATATAAATATGTCGAAATTCAATAAAGTCCAAGGAGAAGAGTAAAACAAAATCAGTATTATGTTATCTGGGGCAAGATAAACTAGCTATAGACGAAGGTCTTCGCCTCGTTAACTACCTACACATTAAACTAACAAGAGTGACTTAAACAAAGTCATCGAACATACTATTCATAAATGGACCAGACAACCCACCTTGCCTTCTCCTTGAAGCGTCTCATCTTGTCGTCGCTAAGATATGGGTGCGCAACGGTGAGAGCCACACTTGAACAAGCACATCACGGCCGTTGATCTATCAAGTGTTAGCATACGGGCCAAGTGATTTATTGGAAGAGAAGACTTCCAGAGAATTCGATTTCTAGAACCGCAGTGCTGAGTGGGCTGCAGTGGTGTGATGCAGCTTTCTGCCAGCGAGTTAGTACTGAGAGCGGTCTGAACACATCCTAAGGCATACCGTATTTCTACGTTTCACGCAATAATCATCCAACTTTCTCCACAACAACATTCAGAACAACATTCAGAAACCCGACACTCAGAAACCCGACACTCAGAACGCGAGCACATCCCTTCCGGTGAGTTCCATCCGCGCTTTCTTGATATCTGACTCTGACTAAAGCTAACCAAGCAAGCATAGTCTAGCAATATGACTCCTCTCAAGCCTCTCGCATCTCAGGCAGCCACTGTCTCCTCGAACAAAGACTCCACCGATGGCGAGGGAGGCGAGCACGATAACTCTGAGGCGCGTACAACTACTTCCACTGGGGACGTCATCGTGCATCCACGAGACTCCAACGTCGTCGTTCTCTGGGGGGATTGTGACGATCAGATCCGTTGGCAGTCCTATGCGCTTCGGCTCGCATGGGAAATGGCAAAAGAGAAGGAACGGTCAACAAAATTCACGGTCAACTCTGTCAACGACGCCGGCGACGTTGTATCGAGCATCGGGCCCGAAACCAAGCCAGAAGATCTCACCACACGACCGCCAGTCCCCCCCTATGCACTGCACAGACAGCGTTCAGTGCCAGGAAAAGAGAAACAGGAAAATGACAACGGCGCTGCTGCTAACCCTCCTGTTTCAATGGAAAAGTGTAGCTCCAAGCGAGCGTAGAAAATTCCGTTGACTTGAAGCCCCTCTCCTTGAGAGAGTGTCGGCCGTACGATGGAAAATCTGCGTATGGATCGGTTGTCGGGATCTTTGTAGGGCCTGGCTCGTAAGGTGAGATCTCCAGATTCTTCGACAGCATACTAGAAGAGCTCTGTAATTAACTAAATATCGGAGAGTAGGGAAGACCAAAATAAGGGGCACTGGCCGGGATGATGCATATGCGCTGGGATCGATTCGGTGGTAAGGCTTGATATTATCAAATTGTCAACTTAGAAGACCTTCTCGACCTACAGATGAAGCTATTACGTATTTCAACATCCGCTTCTCTCTCCCATGATATATGCACTATACTGCGCGTGAGGATCATCCCGATGAAGACCGCTTTAATGCTCCTCTCGGAGTCTTTAGTTTTCATTCTTTATCTTTTCTGAAGGCCGTTACATTCGTAATAAGGAAGAAACCCCAATAAATCCAGCACAGTCTCGTTTTCCCATTCAAAAGAATCACCTAACATCCTTGTTACCCAAAGACCAGATGAGCCCTCCTCAGTATGCCAAAATAACACTCGTAAGTTTGACTTCCCGTTAAAGTCCTCCCCGCCTTTTGGTCGTAGTGAGCTCATGTCTTCCATCAATACAGGTATTTCTCTCTGATGTGGCGGTTCATACGCTAGATGAAACTCTCTGTGTCCATGGATGCGATGCTGATATCTTGAACCAGGCCTTCCATACATTTTACCCATAATTGTGTTCCTAACCGATGTTGATTTTTTTTAAAACAAATGTTTGTAATAAACAGAGGTCTGTCTGAGTAGACACAAAGCCAAGTTGGCATTCCATCTGGCGCACTGTGGTTCACTCCGAGGAACACTAATTTCGTGAGTACTCTGTCGTATTCTTGACTTCGTTCAATTCCTTCGTAGATCTCGGCGAAATGTGCTAGCCGCTTCGTTGTGCCTCAGCCTTGTTTTCCAACGCAGAGAAAATCAGAAAACAATTTCGTTGAATAGAGACATGGAAGAGCTCTTCATCCCTGTCTTCCAATTATCGTTCATCATCTCCGTCATGTCCGCCACTGTCGTTGTTTTCGTCATATTCGCCATCTAAGATTCCATCGCCGTTATAAACGTAGTTGATTGGAGGGGCCTCATAATACACATGAGCCTCAGGATTTCCAAAGGCTTGATTATCCCCCTCGTCTTCATCGTTTCCGTGGACAGCATGGTTCTCGTGAGCTTGGTTGTCATCATCACTCTCGTCATGGAAATCCCCAAAGGGATCCCAATCATCCGGCTCGGTTATGTCATCTGGGTCCACGGGTGGCAGCATCATGTTAGGGAGGTAATATTGCCTCTCATTTTCGCGTGGCTCCGGGCCCATGCCTCGATCTCGCAGGTACGTCGCCATGTCCTTCTCGACCAGCGGCTCTGGGTAGGTATCGACCTGGAGGGACCGGAACTTATCCATCAGCGCTTCGCTCGGGGTCCAGCCGAGCAGCCAGGTCACCAGCTCCCTCGTCGTCCCTCGGCGACAGTTCGGGCACACCTTGGTCTCTGGATCCTTCCTCGCGTTGCCGCACGGTGCAAAGTACGCAAAGGTGAACCAGCCGGGCTCGCCGTCGTACGTGTCGTCCTCTATCTGGCACCCCAGCATGGACGACTTGAGGCGGGGCATCTGGGTCAAAGCATCCGCGTAGGCGTTGACAAACGGTACCATGGTCGACTTGCTGACCTCACCGCGGAAAACACGAACTGGGGTAAGATGCGAGTAGCGAGCTTCCTGGACGAAGCTGAAGATCTCATTGTGCAAGTTGGATTGATCACCCTCGGTACCTTCCCCTACTCCAGGTGGGTTTGCGTGGATATTGTTTGCTGCCATGTGCGCATAGGCGTGAGCTTCAGCGGGGCGGGGAATGAAGTACCAGCCGCCAGCGGGTGTGTTGATATGGAGGTGGATGTCAAAGAACTGAAGGCTCGGCCAAGGCGTCTCGCTCATCGTCTCGAGCGGCCGAAGGAGCGTGATATCGAATACGCCAGTAAGGGTCAAGTCCATAAGGTTGTGCGAGAGCGCGAAGTTATATACGGTTGAACTCAGGACATCTGTAGCGCCTTCCTCATGCAGGGCCGGGGGGGTGGCAAGCTCGTCACGGAATCTTCGAAGCGTGAAGTCAAAATCGGCTCTTCTTAATGATGGAAGTGAGAGACCTTGCATCAGATTGGCAACGTCCTCTCGGTTCTGTTTCCGGATTCGGGGGAACCGCTTCTCATCGTCATCAACGCTGAAGTTGAACTCCTCGAGGTTCGGTAGCTTCATCGCCAAGTAGACGGGGACAGTCGGTCGTGTGTTGCGATAGGCATATCTCTCTTCTGGTCGCAACATGGACAGACGCTTAACTCGTTGCAATACCGGAAGTGTCTCAGGCCTAATAAGGCTGATGTAAGAATGCAGATAACGCCCCTCATGAATTGTGCTCCAATCTGTAACCGAGTTGGCATTCCATGGTGCGTACTTAGAAGGCCAGGGACGGTCACTAGGCGACTCTGGGTGGTTGATATCGAGGGACAGGCGCCGAGGCAGATTGGGATCTTCCGTCTCCCACTGACTTAGGAGATTGAAGAGGGAGTGGATGGCTTCTGTATAAGCCTCATCATTGGCAGCACGCTCTTCCGGGGACTCAGCTCGGATAGCCGCGTCTGCATCGTAGGATGGAAGGATGACAGTAAAGGTAAGGCTGGCCAAGGAGGAGCGGCGAGAGGGTGTGAAAAGCTTGGAGAATTCGGGCAGCTCGTCGCTGTTAATTCTGATGTGACGGAAGCTCCAGCGCTCGACAGCGGCCTGCATGCGGCGCGAGGCCGTTGCGACCGGGGTGAGAAGCTTGGTGTCGGGGCTGGACCTGGAGGCCTTCTCGTAGGGCTCGCGGAGAGGCTCCACCAGGTTGGGGACCAGGAACGAGATGATGTGCTCAATGACCTCATGCGGCAAGGAATCCATGGCGGAGAGGCCTTTCCCTGGCCGGGGTGGCAGCGACGTAGACAATAGTAGACGGTTGGGTGGGCGTCTGGGGAGGCAGATGCGGGCAGGATTAATAACAGCAACTGGGAGGAGGCAGGTAATTGATCTGTGCAAGGTTGGTTGGGATGGGATGGGAGGGAATGGAGATGGCCGGACCCAAGAAACACGAGACACTCTCTCACCCCCTCATCACTCCCCGCCTCACTGCAGCTCAAGTGCCGGATATTACTAAGATTGTCGCAGACTAACCAGATTCTGATTGGCTGCCGCTGCACCAATCACAGGCCAGATCCTAGGGCCGAGGCCCCGTTAGCGCTGGAGCTACAGCCACAGTACTCCCCAGCGCATCAGCCACAACACAGAAGCATGTGTACGAGCGTTGTGGCAAGTTCAAACAATAAAGAAAAAGGTATCCGGACAATATGCAGCGCCAAGACTGATCGTTTGCTTATTCTGCTTTGAATGAAAGAAAGCACGGCCATCATGGAAGATGGTAGTTCTGGGCCAGTTTGAGGACCAAGCTGCCTTTGATACTTTCAATTTGGCGTACGTACTCCGTCCAAAGACCGTGGCTGTGGGCCCAGGGTAAAACAGCGACGTCGCTGCACCAGCCTCAGCTACCCTATAGCGGCCTCTCTCCTATCAACGGGCAAGATCATTTCAATCACCTCGTGAGCTTTACAATAGCTAATCGGATTTATAAGTGGCGTAATTATTAAGAAAAAAAATTACCTACCCAGCAAATTTTTCTATACGTGATTCATTGTCGAGAACCTCACTTTGCTGCGCGGTGTTCCTGCGGTTCAAGTATGTCAAAATATTGTCTTTTTTCCACTTCCACATTCCATGCTAAGCTCGGGGCCTCCCACTCCTCGAAAGTGACATAAGACCAAAACAGGGAAGCTTCGTTTTGGGATCTTGAAATTTTACCCGAGCCGAGCCCTCTCTTTCAACCGTCTCCCTTTCGATCTCGTCCAAAAAGCCAGGTACTCCTCCAAACACCGCCATCCACCCGCTATTAACGATGAAAATGTGTGAAAATACTCCATGCCGTTACTTGCAACGCCCGCAACCGACAATATAACAATAACAGCACCGATCATCACCGCCGAAGCATTTCAAGAACTATTCAGTCGTATGCCAGACCGAACTGCACAACAACGGGTTGATTCAACCACTGCCGAGGGAAGATACGAGCTTGAGAAGTTCCTTACTATCCTATTCGCTAAATGCGGTATTGACTTGAAAAACGCCCCGGAAGACGGCGCTGAAGCCAGACTGTTCAGATCTCTGATCAACCATATGATCGAACAGGAAACATACAAAAGTGAACTACCGCGAACAGAAAGGAGACTTGCGCCGTTCGGATTGGAGATATTAAACTTGTATTCAGTTGATGTCTCCAGTTGTCCATATATCCACCAAAATCTTCCTAAATTTCTTCCTCGATTCCCCAGTAACGACCAAAGTCCATGTCCCAACTGAGTGGGTTAGGCTCGCTTGGAGCTTTTTCCCCATTGGGGCAGGAGTGTTCGCAACGGAGGTCGGTCTGAGTTGAAGCATGTGTGTATTTCGAGGGAGGAGGAACCGTAGCCACCACGGGAACGATGGTGGAATGGACAGGAGCGGACGTGACCGCAAAAGCTGGGACGGCTGCCGATGCTGGAGTTGATGCGGGCGCGAAGGTGGGTTGAGTGGACATTTTATTGCCCAAGGGTTGTGGTTCTTGATTCTGTTACTTCGTTAGCATTCGAAACGTTGCCAAGGAAGGAGTCTGTAGCATACTGCTGTTCTGCTTGCTCGACCTATCTTGATCTCTCGTTCATGTAACTCCTAATCCTCGAATTCAGACAAGACCTGGGTGGCATCAACACGAGTTTTGAGCCCTAGGTGCACGCAACCCTGGTGTCTTGGGTTGCTGTATTTGGCCTCGGTTGGAGGCCAAAAAAAGGTCAAGGTGTCGGGGTTGTGACACTTTTCGCGAGCAGCGGCCTCGAATTCAGCCCGAGTAGCTTCGAACGAGATGTTGTTGATCGTGAGGAGACGGCGGTTCTTTCGATATCCTCCGATGAGCTCTTCAAAAGCTGCGTCGTAGTTGGGCATTCTGGGTCTTGGTTAGTTACTTTCCTGATGGTCTCTATCTAGTAGTGGATGGGGACTCACTTGACGGAGATCTGAAGTTGGGCTTTCTTGGTTGCGTTGGTGTTGTCAAGTTCTGGGATTCTTGTTTTGTTGTGGTCAGTTGGCGAACTGAGATAGAGCTGAGAGGTGAAGTGAGTGCGGATGTTGCCTGAGGTATCAACCGAAACACGCGCCTTTCTCGCGTTCGATGCCTCAGGCGACCTGAGATGAAGTTGAGAACCTGCTAAGAGAGTGTTGATGTTGCCTGAGGTATCTACCAAGTATGCTTCCTTCTCGCCTTCAATACCACGCGACTGACAAACATAGCACCCCTAGAAACTCCAGTTCAATTTCATCACAATAGTAAAATAATTAACCGAATAATAGATACAATAGCAAGCTAATAACTAGGTGTAGAATATCTTATTATTCTCATATTATTGTGTTTAATAAAAAGCCTTATACAAAATGAGTTTTGGCGTGCCGTGTTGGATACCTGAGGTTATCAAGATGCCTTGGGAGCAAATTCGTCCCTCACAAACTCGACATAACGCGTCAAAAACAACAACAGCAACAAAAACCAATTAGAAAAACTACCATTTTCTGCAACAAAAATCCAAATACCAATTTCTCCAGTTTCATTCTGCTATGGATTCCATCATTAGAAATCAAACTACCTTCGCCCAAATTTGGGCTCTTGAAGAAGCAACCCGCAACCCACTCACTGGCATTGAACGACCTGCTGGCTACGATGCCATGCTTCAAAGCCGGCGCCTCCTACCAGTCCACGAGCGGTACAGCGAGATTCTCGATGCATACCAACAGTCTCAAATCATGATACTATCAAGCGAGACTGGCTCGGGCAAGTCAACTCAAGTCCCCCAGCTGCTTACCTACGATGAGTATCCTAGTGGTCTACAGGTTGCATGCACCCAGCCACGACGACTTGCCACCAGGGAACTTGCGAGCCGAGCAGCTGCTGAAATGGGAGTTACCCTGGGTGAGGAGGTTGGGTACAGGGTCGGGTCTGACCAGCGGTACAACGAAAACGATAAGAAGACCCGGCTCGTCTACCTCACGGAAGGTGTCCTGGTTCGCCAACTCAGTAATGACAGGGACCTATCGGCGTATGCCTGCGTCATCATTGACGAGGCCCACGAGAGAACCCTCAATGCTGACCTATTGATGGCATTGTTGAAAAAGGTGGTCAGTCGCCGCAAGGATTTCAAGGTACGCACCTAAACTCTAGCCTCTGTTGCCTGCCCGATGCTGATCAATTTAGGTGGTCATCATGTCAGCGACAATGGATGCTGCGTTGTTCCAACGTTACTTCAACAATTGCCCGCTGGTTCGAATTTCGGGGCGAAATTTTGGAGTTGAGACTTTCCACATGAAAGCCCCGGGGACAAACTACGTCGCCGCCGCGGCTGCCCTTGTGATGAAAATCCATCAAGGCTCGGAGCCGGGCCATATCTTGGTCTTCCTTCCTGGAAAAAAAGAAATTGAAAGAGTATGCAATCTGCTCAGTGACTTTGATCAGAACCTGGAAGTCCTGCCCTTGTATGGATCCCAAGCGAGTTATCAGCAGAGCCAAGCTGTCAACTCCCCTAGCTCAAGTCGCAAATGCATCGTGTCAACAAACATCGCGGAGACTACTCTGACCGTTGATGGGATTGTATTTGTTATCGACTCGGGCCTGTCACGCCAAATGATTTTCAATCCACGGGGTCGTATGAACATGCTCGAGCTACGAACCATCTCCCAAGCATCAGCGAAGCAACGTGCTAGCCGTGCTGGACGGACAAGAAACGGCTTCTGTTACCGGCTTTACACCAGAGAGACTTTCAATCTCATGGAACCAACAACTGCACCAGCTATCCACCGCGAGGCAGTTGACTCGGTGATTTTAGACCTTGTGCACGCGGGCTATCGCAAGATCGCGGATTTCGACTGGATCGATGCCCCTCATCCTGAGTCTCTCTTGAGAGCTGTCCAAGATCTCAAGGATTGGTAATTACCCGCTTCCAACCTCCCTTGAATTGACTTCGCAGAACTAACAGTCCTAAATAGGAGATTTTTAAGAGCCGATGGCAAGATCACGCAATTAGGCAAGCTTGCCGCGATGTGCCCACTGGAGCCAATGTGGTATCGAGCCATTGAGATTGGGGCAGGTCTTGATTGCTCCGCGGACATCGTTGACATCGCTGTCCTTTGTAGTTCGCAGAAGCCGATTTTTGTTCAACCACCGGGGGTAGTTAGGGTTGCACGCGCGGCTCGAGAGCGATCGCGTTCCCCCCAACCTATGCAATCAATCTAGGTACACTAAACGCATTTACATGCCGAACAGGGTCTATGTGTGAATAATGTTTGTGTAAAAAAACCCCGTGCTTGATCTTAATTTTATTAAGAGTAAATACCAAAAGCCCAGTCATAAATCACCTGCGTCAGCAGGACTTCTCCTCGTTATAAATCCAGGCAGACTATCAAAAACCTGTTGCTTAGGTTGGAAATGCCGGCCAAAGCTAGACTGGTCATTGTTATTCAAAGCCCTCCAGAAGGGCCTTCTCAGAGAGGCCTGCGGCTTGATTTTAGGATGACAAACACAACGCAATCCACGGCAATGGAAACATTGACTCTTTAATGGAGACACTTCCACTCTCTTCCTTTATGTTCCTAAAAGAAGGTGAAGGTTTAAGGTGGGTATTGAAGTAAACTGGTAATGGGAGCGTCAGTTGCCTCTATAGAAGGATAAATAAAACTTGTTTCTAGAGTGAGAATCTTACATGCACACGCATCGTTCAAGTAATCAATCTTGATCGACCTTACTCCTAAGCCGAGTTGGCCGGTCTCAGGGTTCTCGTAGATGGAGACCCAATGTCCATCCTTGCTGCAGTCTTTATCCCTAAACGTATCAAAAGTGCCCACAATGTCATCTCTGCGCATATAGCTAGCGACGCCAGCATTTAACCAGACATAAAGCTGGCGAGGACTGCCATGGGGGTAACGTGCATGCTGAAAGCTAGTATCTTTTCAGTTGAAAGAGGAAAACTAGTAGTTGTTGTAACTATATTGATAGTGATACTAAATACATATATATACATACATGTCTTTTGGGATGGAGTGTAGAGGACCTTATATACTTCGTTTATGCACCTTTATTTACTTCATTTTCACCTCCTGCCCCTCTACTGTCTCACTTTTCAACAAGATGGAATTCACTATTTCTAATTCAGTATATCATAGTTATACTAGCGGAATATTGGCCATATACTTTATTTATATGATCTATACGTGTGCAAAAAGATCTAGGAAGAAGAAAAAGCCAGGATATTCTCTTATTCTTTTATATAATAATGATTGGGGCTGCTGCATTACTCAAATTCAGATTGGGATATGTGACTGTCTCAGCATCGGACGTAGATGGAATTTCTCTATAACAGCCGTACTAGCTAGATCGCTCGTAGGAATGCAAGGACTCGGTCAGGATTTTCCGCCCATTTAGGACCTAAAAGCTACAGGAGAACAGCTCTTTTGCTAACCAAACCCTAGGTAGTTCAATTGTGCCTACCTACTCAAGCAAGTGGGAACTTTCGCTGTACAGCAAAATGCTGAACGGTCAAATGCTTCCCCTTTTCTTATACCGCAAACGGTCAGCCACAAGTAGATGATAACGTCTCAGCCAAACTCCACCAAGGCTCAAATTATGGAAATGGGGTTTGCCTAGAGCTCCAAAGAGCCTAGGGGACTCTGTGAACCGATGTACCCATCTCCCCGATTAGCACTCTCAGACTGGATAATGTCCTCGGCAAGGTCAGTCCAGAATTGGCATGAGCTGTTTGAATTCTTAGTGTCCTGAATAAGTCCCCACGGTACCAAGGGATTATCTAGGAGACCTCTGACTTGGAGAACATCCTTGAGCTGGTCTGATTTCCCGTCAGCTAAGGGCCAGGAAATCCTTTCCTCGTCCTCGAGCCTATTCGGATCTCCGTGCACAGCAAACGAAGCAGCGTAGGACTGGAGCTTCTTTCGGACTTTGTACTCGAGGCCTATTCGAAGGGCTGGAGGAATTAATTTAATCCAGTCAGGTAAGTCGGGAATATCAGGGATGTCAGGGATTGCCTCCGAGATCTCTTCCAAATTGTTGCTGAACAGGGGGATTAGGTCAGTTCCATGGATAGTAAGCCCGTCAAAAGGGAAAGAGTACTCCATCACATAAGACCTGTCCGAAAACGTATTAAAGAGATCTCGACCATTGCAGTTAAATACAGCGTGAGCAATGATCTGGGCAACGCAGAGCGAGTATTTGGGTTCGTTTGGATAATTTTTGCAATCGTACTGCTCCTTGATTTTCGTCCTTTGTGTCTTTAGTTCTGGGCCAGGAAGGAACTGGTTGAGGAAGTAATCGTATCCTTCTTCATCTGTCACATAGTCAGGAGCGAACACGAGTCCCTCGTTCGCGACATGCGTAATCAGCGCTGTATCAATCTTCTTCCAGATATTGCCTAATATATGGGATCATAGAGTTAGTATTATCCATTTTGACTATAACTCTTGGTTCAGGAGGGGGGAGGGCGTCTATACCTTTCGCAATAGCAATAGGGCTAATCTCCTTAATCCATTTTCCATCGACTGATGGTCCGATGGGGAACAGTCCAGTTAGCCTGACCTCCTCATAGAGTTTCTGGTCGGCCTCAGCTAGAACTTCGATATCCTTATCTCGCAGACAGGTAATGTTTTTCTCCAAACCGCAACCAGCCAAAGCAGAGAATTTCTGATATATCATGTCCAGGGTACCATTTGCGGAATTATTCCAAGCCCATTGGTGGCCGGGGCTTGCAGCATAGAAGCTACGGAAGGTTGGATTAACTTGACCACCCTCGCGGATTAGGTGATGAAGAATGGAGCCGGCACCAGCCGACTCCCCCCAGGCAGTGACCTTTTCCTTGTCGCCCGCCACCTGGTCAACATACTCTTGAACCCACTCGAATAGAAGGGCCTGATCATATAGACCTGCGTTGGGCAGCCCATTTTCCTCCATGTAATTTCCAGCAAGCCAACCCAGGGCACCTAGGCGGTAGTTGCCAGTGATAAAAATGGCATTGTAATTGGAGGCCGTTATGATAGACTGACCACTGTACATACTGCCGCCCTGGGTCTTGGAACCGAAAGCGTAGCCCCCGCCGTAAATCCAAACAACAACAGGCAGCTTTTCTCCTTTCTCGAGAGCGTCTTTGGGTGCATATATATCGAGAAATAGGCAGTCTTCTGTTTGATATAGCTTTTCTTTGGGAGCGAGAACCGAACCCGGGCCTTCGGGAGGGTTCTTTAGTTTGAATGGATTGATTTGGTAGCAGCTAACGTTGTGTTCGGGCTTCTGGAAGGAATCATCCTCCCAGTTTGGGTATGACGGAGCGCCGAAACGCTCAGGCTGGGCTCCAAAGCGGACATTTCTGTAGACAGCAATCTGAGGAGGATATTAATATGCATATTCGGATGGTCTAGCGCAACTTTAGTAGGGCTCTTCTTACCTTTGGATCATTTGGCAGTGCCTCGGCCTTCCACTTTCCCCAAGGTAGATTTAGGATTGGTAGGTCTTCTGCGGCTCCTAGAGCCGTTAAGGCGGAGAGGCCGATTAAGATATTGCGTGCAAGCATTCTAGGCTAATTGTTGCCGGTAGGCGCGGGACGATCATTAAGGTCAATACTTTATAGACTTCCATTCCTATTTGTACTTCTCCCCGTTACTCTATTCATGGTATTTGATATTAGGTCAGACCTCTTTCTTATCGGCTCTGATGACGCAAACGGCGACAAAATAATTAAGCTTTGGAATCACCCTAAGGCAGCCCGCCGAACTTTTTGAGATGCAACCAATACAAAGACATCCTATGCATATCTCAAACACTCGCTTCCAGGAATGAAGGTCTAAATCGTGGCGTTAAGGGAGATCATCTCCATTCCTTCCCCCTGCGGGACCCCTTCGACGTCAATGAACATTTGAAAGTTGTGCCGGCAGGACACAAAAGGCAAACGATAAATCCGTACCATACGAAGATGCCGTGTCCCATTCCATAATATGCCAAGACAGCGGTTAGCGATGTGTTGTATAGAGCCCGGATGCTGATCCCTGTACCTATGAGGGCTTTTGCGCGGCCCCATCCTGTGTCCGGAATAACACCGGTTTGAAGATAGTCCGGTTTATGTTCGCCTGATGGTAAATAGTTGGCATTAGAAGCAAGCTCACATCCGTTGTTGTGAATGTGAGATCCCCTTGAGAGGGCCGTGAAATCTCGGATATGGGGCTTTTACCCCACGTACTAGAGACTTTGTTGTGGTTGCTTGCGGGAGGGTTCGCTCGCGAGAGCAAACGCCACGAACTACTTGTACAAGATAAGTATCCAACCTCTCGGTTTACTCAGGAGGCTATACTCTATAAGAGCGATATCCCTGCCGGCCTAGCAGCCACAGTATTCATGCCATACCGTGTAACAACAAAATATAGTCACATCCTACCATTTCTGGCCAAGGTCTCCGACGTATTGACCCCTAGGCCGGCGCCTCCGATAGCAAATTTCTTAATTTCTTCCGGCCAATCGCAGCTATTGTAAAAGCCTCCTGCCTGAGGATAAACTTTATATATTTCATGCGCCAGGTTGAGCCATGCTGAAGTGTCTGAGATGCCCTGATTAGCCAACACACACCAGTATGGCTGATTCTGTATTGTACTGTATTGTGTTGTTGCGGGCGGTTGATACGTGAACACCGGGGTGCCCAATTATGTCAGCAGGGCCCCCGAGTACGGTGATATACTATTTAAATCACTGCACAACATGACAATTACAATCCCACGCTACGGTTAGATGAATTGAATTGAAAAATACTGCTAACCTAATCAATTACTTCGTTTCACTTTTCAACAAGATGGAAGTCACTATTCCAAGTCAGTATACTATATATTATACTAGTAGAATTTTAGCTATATCTTTATTTTATATGATCTATATATATACAAAAGGATTTTAAAAGAAGAGACTGCTAGGTTATTCTCTTATTCTTTTACCTAATAATTATTACAGCTACTGCATTACTTAAGTTCAGCTTAAGATATATGGCTGTCTTAGCCTCGGATGTAGATGGAATTTCTCTGTAAGAGCCGTCATCTGAAGGAATGTGAAGGAAGACTGGTATGGGGGAGTCTATGTGCTAATCATCTCACGGAATGGACAATGAAGTCTCATTGGAGTAAGTTGCCCTGTCCAAAGACTATATGTAAGCGGCCCCTGTACATTCCAGGCCTATCTTATTTCCTAGTGGCAAAGTAGATATCCGGCGGTAAGTCGAGAGGCAGGGAGCACTGGGCAAGGGTGCACGCCATAGACACGACTATGCCGACTGGAAACTTCATGATTATATTAATGTTTGGTATTTTATCCTGTTCTGGTAAGGCGAGTGTGATCGGTAGTGTCTGAGCTTCGTCGAAGCCTGCCGATGTCTCAATTCTAGTGAGCTCGTTGTAACCGCTTGCGGACTCTGTGAAGCCGTGCGGTCGTATTGTTCGTTTAGTTCTTCCTCTTGGCACCAGTGGCACCAGTGAAGGGATTGGCCTCATTATGGCTCTTCGATGCGCCGGGCGCTTCAAAGTGCTTGTGCCGTTTGGTTGTAGTTCAATTATGACCAATTGACTACCATTCTCTTCCCCAATGATGGTTGACGCGCCTCTGTTCCGAAATAATCCCGAGACGTGGCTGGGAGGCTGGTTAACTTTACGGCTCTCTCCATTCCGTGCTACATACGCTACAGGGTGCTATGGTTTCCCAAGGTTAGTCCAAAGTGACTGAGGACAACCCCATAGGAAATGGTACTGATGTCTTCTGTGCCCACAAAGCGTTGAAGTCCTGTCATCTAGTGAAATATATCTGTAGCTATGAAGCGTAATCCAAAGAACTAGGACCAAAGGCATGGGCCGCAAGCCGGGACCGTGGTCGGTGTTGGATGACGCCACGCATCTCAGGTTGGGTTCCCGCTGAGTCTCTTACAGCTTAGCGGCGGCCGGCCTGGAACTAAAGCACGAAATAGCCTGAGCAGCAAGCTATCGTACCTGTATAGTATCTTAAGCCGCTCAATAGCTAGATAAAAAATAAAATAAAATAAAAATAAAGGAGACCCGCAGATACTATCTGCTATCAACCAGGCACTGTGACGGTTGGATGACTTACACTGGACAGGGTCTAGGGTAGGTCGGGGTTAAACTAATCAGAGTATTATTCTGAGTAGTATAATCAGGTTATCTTAGGCTATATAATATAAGTTACTATTAATATATAGGTATTATAGAGCTAGTAGTAATAGATATATAGATAATTATATTAATAACTATCTAAAAGAGTATTTCTATCTAAGAAGTAAATATATTATTAATTTTAAAAGACTATAACTACTATAAGTTAGTAGGGTTATAAGTATTAATAATAGTTATAACTACTAACTGCTAGTAATTATAGTTACTAGCTTTTAATAATTATAGCTATTAGCTATAACTATTAATAACTTCCTATTAAAGCTAGCTAATAGTAGTTAAGATTACTATCTCTTAATAATAATAATTACTAGCTAATAGTAATTATAGCTACTATAGATTAGTAGCTATAGACTATTATAATTACTATAGCTTAATAGACTCTAGAAACCCTTAGGGATTTAGATTACTAATAAAGCTATTATTAGATTATTAGACTTATTAAGCTTAGATAAAAATCTAATAAATCTAGAAAAAATTCTAGAATATTCTTAGATAATCTAATCTATATCTAGATTATCCTATAGCTAGTTTATTCTAGATTAGATTTTAAATTTTAAATAATTTCTTTAGTTTTAAAGAGAAGATATCTAATATCTATATTTAATTAATTAGCTTAAAAGTCTCTTTTAGATAAAAATAGATCTTATAAAAGTTATATATATTAATTAAAAATTTTAATAATTATAAATTAATTTTTTAAATTTTCTATAGTAATAAATTTTATAGAAAATTAAAAATAACTTAGAAAGCTATTATAATAAATTTTAAAATAGTTTTTAATTAATAGATTTATAAGAGAAATTAGATAGAATTTTCTAATCTTTTTTATAAAAATAAGATTCTTTTATATTATATTTTATACTATATTTAGTTTTTCTAATATTAAAACTTATTAAGTTATAGTAGAGTTAGTAGTTAAGAACTATAAATTATAATAAACTTTTCTACTATATTATAGTAGCTTTAAGACCTAATATACTCTAAAGACTACTATAATTTTAATAACTCCTATAACTTCTAAACCTTTAGAGAGAGAACCTATAGAAATAGATCCTAAGGAACTTTTATACTATAGCTATAATATAAGCTATAAGGTTAAGAAGAAAATTTTAAATAAAGAACCTTCTTCTTTTAAACAGGTTATAAAGTTAGAAAATAAGAAAGAATAGTTAGAAGCTATATTTAATAAACTAGAATAACTAGTATATTAGAATTACTTTTCCTTTATAAATAAGACTAATATATCTAAGAATAGAAAAATTCTACTAAATAGATTAGTTTTAAAATTTAAAAAGAATTTAAATCTATATCTAAGGATTATTCTTACTTCTATATCTAGTCTAGGGTTTATATTATTTATCTTAGTTCTTATTATAATAAATTCCTTATATTATTAGATTATAATACTATTAAAACTATAATTACTATATTTACTTATTATTATAAGTTTATTAGAAGGCTTTTCTAAAGTATATACTGTAGATAAGATAGGTTATAAAGATAATTTATTCAGTTACTATCCTAGCTATAGAACTAGGCTAGTTATAAAGCTAGTTCCAGAGCGGTTATAACTAAGCTGACCGCTCTATAGTTAGCCTTCAGCTAGTAACTGCTAGTTAGGGGTATTTAGTATACTAATATAGGTAGTTTTTTATTTTCTTATCCTATATAGATAGCTCTTTCTATTATAAGTCCTCTTATAATCTCTATAAATATAAGAAATAAATATATATAATTCTAATCCCTTATATCTTTATTAAAAAGATACTCTTAAGTATTATATTTATTTAATTATATATATATATACTATAGTATAGGTTTATTATACTAGTATATATACTTTATTATTAAGTTACTCTGCTACTATAGTTTAATTAGTTACTCTAATAATAAGTAATTATAGATATATACCCTATCTATAATAATCCCTATTTTAAAATACTAAGTATTTCTCTTTTTCCTTCTTCTATATAGCTATTTTCTATTATATATATATCCCTATAATAATCCTTACTGCTCTAGAATATTATTCTAAGGCTAACTATATATAGAATAGTTATTACTTTCTTTTCTAATTATATTATATATAGAGATCTATATACTTTAAGATATAGTTTTATAGCTAATCTTATTCCAGAGAAAAACAGTTAGTTATATCTATCTCTCCTCTCTATACTCCCTTATCTTTACTAGTAAATAAGACTATTAAAGAAAGTAAGTTTAGCTCTATATCTTAATTAGATATACTTATCTAATAGGTTTTAAAGTAGTTACTTATCTATTTACCTCTACTAAGTAGTATTAGGAGGTACTTTTAAGTACTCAGAAGGAGTTAGTAAAGATTAAGAGAAAGAAG